ACAGAAATTTTGAAATTTTATTAGGAACGTTTTGCATTTTTCGTATTTTTTTTTCAGTATTACTTAATACTAGGTAATAGGTAATTAAAGATTTGTAATTAAAGTTTTTAAGGACAGAGTGTTATACAAAATGTGTAAATAAATAAAACAATAATATAATAACATGCATTTTTCATTTGTTTTATGTTTGGAGATCTAATTTTTGTATACCAATCATGTCTACCTACTTCACACTAGGTAATTTTTAGAGTTGGTATATCGGCCCCTTAGAGTAGAACTAGTGTAGGTACCTATGTCCAATTTTTATCGAAAATGGTTATAGAATCTATGTGTTTCTTTAAGCAGGCAGCATTTGTTGCATTTGTATATGTTACATTTTATAACTTTTTATTTTATAATTTATTTGCAAAATTTTTTATTTAAAAAGAAAGCTCTGTTGTAAAATTTGCATAATGTGAATTGCTCTAAGAGGACGACATACAAAACCCCTTTCAATTGTGTCAAAACTGTCTAGTCCATCCCTAAAGATTCCCGAATTTCCCACAAGAAAATCCTATAGGGGCTGAGCCACGTGACCGCATCATCCCGTATTGGTCCCTCAGCTCCTCCTTCCACATCAATGGCGTTTCAGCGAACCCCCGGATTGGCCGCCAAAAGCGTCCTTAATTCAGCTCGTTAAATATAAATTGGATAAAGTAATAATGTCAGAAGTCAGTTTGTCCAGAACTGTGTAGCCAATTTGGTTCATTAAGCAATTGCCAATCAAGATTAAGTGATTGTTTTGATTTTCGAGAGTTAATTGGAAAATGGAAGGTGCCCCTTTCGACGAAACATTTGATTACAACAACCAGCCCTTACCAAGTCTCAACTCCACACTGTTGCAGAACAAAAATCAAGAGAATTTGAACGTGCATTCGATACAAGTGATGTTAGGGTTGCAACAGCAACACGACATGTTCGGGAATATGGGGTCGCCGATGGAGTACAAAGGGTCGCCGCAAAAGCTTGACGGGTCGCCCATGCACCAGGAGTTGGGGATGTTCCAAGGGATGGAAGGGAGTGGACAGAAGAGGAAGGAGGAAGTCATGTTGCAGTCGCAGAGCTTGAGCTCGACGGAGATTGGGAATACGACGACGACGCAAAAGAAGAATGAAAAGAAGAAAAGTGATAACAATGGAGTCAAGAAGAAAAAAACTAGGTAGGTTTGCTACATTTTTTCCATCTGTTATTCTCTCTTCCAACAAATTTTAAAACATTTTACAAAATTGTGACAAGTAATTAATAATTTAGAGTTTTTGAAAGCTCAAAAATATAAAACATATAAACATTTCTTTAGAAGTAAAAAAATAAAATCGGAAAAATTTATTGTAGCAAAACAGACAAAAATTTAAAATTGAAAAACTTAACTTTTAAAATCAATAGAAAAAAAACGTATCTATCTATAATTTCTCCAAAACATGTAGACCAAATAACTAAAAATTAAATAAAAAACAGTTACGGAATTAAAATTTCGGGCAGTATTGTCATTTTCATAATGTAAACTCTAAAACAACCTTTACATTAATAACCTCATTTTTTACTCTTGTCATGTTTATGTCATTTTTACCTATTTACTTTTAAAAATAGCGTCACCTACAGAAAAGTTTAATTGTCAAATGTTAGTCATGATGACAGTAAAAGTGGACTTTTTAAAATGACAGAAAAATACTGAACGAAATTTTAATTCCGTAACTGTACAGGGTGCTGCATTTTGGATGTCCGAATAGGGAATCTCCGAAACTAAGAGGTTTAGCCAAAAACGAGTGATACATTCTGAAGCTCATTTTTTGAGAAAATAATATTGCTTAAAACCGCATCTCGCTATCGTCTTTTGTTTTCGACTTATAGACAAAAATTGACATTTTAGCGAAATCTAAACAAATTCATATCTTCGTTATTATAGAAGACACAGATTTGAAATAAAGACATTATACAGGCACTTTTTTACGTAGAATTTAATAATGTAGTTAACAATTTTTTTCAGTTGTTTGTTTAGCCGTAATAAAATAAACTTGTATTTTTTTAAATGGGAATAGATGGCTATGTCATTTTTAAAAAGCTTGTTTTTTTCTTATCTAAAAATATATATTTGTAACAAATTATTATAATATATTTTTAGCAAAAAATTATCTTTGATTTTTGTTCGCAGTTGGCCATGAAAAAATGTTGCATTTTCAACTAAAAGAATTTAAACTATATTATATTCAACCAGTGTCACTAATGAAATAGTTTTCTAAGTACTAAGTAATGAAAAAATGCAAAATAAATCGTAAATCAAATTATTGGCGACTAATAACATTTCTTTGTTTTTAAACAAGCTAACATTACCATTGCAGCTTCTAGTGATACATAGAGTGTTCTAAAAAAAGCCGCTTTAATTCTTCAATAAAATATATTTTATATTACACAAAAATGACGATATGGCTATTCAAATACCCAAATTCCGTCTATGTGAAACGTTATCCTACCTCCATTAGATCATCCAAAAATATGTTTTTTCTAATTGTGTTGACTGTTAACACATTTGTTTTTCCTATTTTTCGATTTTTTAAAAATATGTAATAACACACACACACAAAACTTTTATTGATTATTATTTACACATTTGGAGTGAAATAGTTTTTCCATGGCCAACTATTATTACACAAAATATGTATTTCACTTTTTAAGTATAGTTATAAAAACATATTTTGTTACAAATATATATTTTTTAGATCAGAAAGAAATAAGCTTTTTTAAATTGCCATAGCCGCCTATGATTTCCATTTAAAAAAATACAAGTTTATCTTATTACGGCTAAACTAATAACTGAAAAAAATTGTTAACTACATTATTAAATTCCTCGTAAAAAAGTGCCTGTCTTTATTTCAAATCCGTATCTTCTATAATAACGAAGATATAAATTTTTTTAGTTTTTGCCAAAATGTCAACTTTTGTCTGTAAGTCGAAAACAAAAGACGATAGCGGGATGCGGTTTTAACCAATATTATTTTCTCAAAAAATGAGCCCAGAATGTATCACTCGTTTTTGGCTAAACCTCTTAGTTTCAGAGATTCCCTATTCGGACAACCAAAATGCAGCATCCTGTACATACTTTCAAAAAAATTGGGCAAAAGGGGTAAAGTTTGTTGAAGAAAAAATATACAGGTTTTCAACAGTACATACCGAGGTGGGTATACTACAGAAAATCAGTAAAGAATTTATGCAGTTTTGAAAAACATGACATATAACAGTTCAGGTTGGGAAATGGTCACTTCCTTATCAGTTTTCGAATTCGAAAATGGCCATTTTCCAACTTGAACTTTTAATTAAAATCAAAGTATTCTTGACCTATGACAAAATCTTGGAAAAATTAAATGTAGAAAAAATTAATAGTAAACCGTAGGTTAATAATAACTAACCTAAATTAATGAGATGCAATTATTTTTCTTTAATTGATCCTAGTTTTTCACTGCATTGTTATTTTATTGAAATCAGGAAGAATTTTTTCTCCGATTTTTTTTCATAAGTAGTAAACATAGTGAATAGTCAAAATTTTTATTTAAAAAATTCCGACATGAGAAGAAAAAAAATAAGAAATTAATCTCTATTTGAGCTTTTATGTTGCAATTTGTATTTTGGAATTAATTACAGTTAAGTCCACAATAAGTGTGAATAACGTTTATAAATAATTTCCCCCTATTCTCGGGAGTGTTTTTTTAATTTAGTGATCCCAATTAGTTCCGTGAATCCGTGAATAATAAAATTCCACACATCAACTGCCACCAGTGGCGCAGATGACGCCCCCACGCTACCACCTGTCTAACCTCCTGCTCGTTTCCAGGACCACTTTCACCGCCTTCCAACTCGAGGAACTCGAACGGGCCTTCGAACGCGCCCCTTACCCCGACGTGTTCGCCCGCGAGGAGTTAGCCCTCAAGCTCAGCCTCAGCGAGTCCCGAGTGCAAGTGTGGTTCCAAAACCGTCGCGCCAAATGGCGCAAACGCGAGCCCCCTCGCAAGACCGGCTACATCAGCTCCAACACCCCCAGTTCCACCATCTCCACCAACTTCAACACGACCATCCCCTTCACTCAGACCAACACCCTTAACTCGTCCACCCCCGTGGACACGTGGAGCTACCAGTCGACGTATGACCTCGGGCCGCACCTCAACCTCCTTAACTCGTCCTCCACCCCCTATTCTAACTTCGGCTCGCCCCAAAACGGCTACTCGTACGTTTTGAATTCGCACGATTCGCAGTTGTTTGGCGCGCCGATGCGCGCGCATGAATACACACCGCCTTTGGCCAATCAGAGCCCGCCGTTAGGGCGGGAATATTCCATGCTTCAAAYTCATTCGCCGACGGGTGATAGCGACTCGATTGGCGCTAAAATTGAATATGTGAATCACACGTTGAATACGTCGCCAGAACGGTACGCGAACATGTCGCCGAAGTATGAGCCGAGTTATCACGAAGATGGCCGAATGAAGGAAGTGAAGAATGAACACGGGAATCAGACTTATGTGACCTTACCCCCTTTTCTGAATTAGCCAAAATTGTAAAGAGACGGTTTTTTTAGGGTTTTGTACAGTTTTTTGTTCCTTTTTGAAATTTTGGCTAAGGCAGCTTAGAGTTAAGTACCTCACATGTGTGCCATTTTTATCCAGTTTTAGATATATTCTTTGTAGTATACGTAATATTGCCATTAATGTATAAATCATTGAATTTTTATATTTACAATAAAAATGTCAAACAATTCAATATTTTTTACGGAGAATCCTAACGTCACTGTATGATTGTTTTCACATCATTTTATTGACATATTGTTGATTGTTTCTTTTTCTTCGAACAATACTTGTTACTGTTTTTCTAACAAAAGATTAAATAAAAAACCACAGATTGTATTAAAATGCTTTTAAGGATTATTTAAATTTTTAGAAAAACCTATTTGTTTTGATGAAATGGAAAATCCGGTACAAATAGCACAGAAATCCCAAACAAAAAAAGTGGTGATGAAATAAAATCAATAAATTACTTGCTTCCAAAACTCTTTTATTTTTTTTATTACACATTCAGTCAAATTCAAAAAAGTGATCGTCAATGTCACATTTTGGCATATAATTTATTATTCATACTTAAATTTAGACAAATACATTTTTTGGCATCAAGTTTGGTTATTTGTCATCGAATCAATTTTGTTGTGAAAATGTAAATTATTTATTATTTATTTATTAATTTTTGAAATGACATTGACGACCACTTTTTGACTGTATAAACGTTTTCAAAAATAGGTATCACTTTGTTCAACTCATTTGTAAAATCCTTCTTCGCTTTCTGAACATATCTATACCATTTCTGGTAAAAATAAATAAAATAAAGACCGAAGATATAAAACAGTCATGGATAATAAAAGTTTTTACACATGTGCTACAAATTATTTATTAAATACGAATATTAAAGAAGTTTATAACAATATTTAAGAAAAAAAATTGTAATTGTTGTTTGTTTTTTCTAATATAGCATTTTTATCTTATCAATGGCACTTTCCAATTGTACAAGGGCTTCTAAAAAAGACATCGTGGTTAGATGTGAAAGCACCCAATAACAAAAAATTTCATCTGTAGAGAATCCTCAATTTTTTCTGCAAAAGTTTTGCTTTTTCTTTTAACTTGGCTCCACTTATGGGCACATTGGATTCACTTTAAACCAGTTAAGAACGGCTTTATCTAATTTATCATTTTTACAGTATGTAACTTGTTCATTTTTGACGAAAATTCACAGTTGAACTCGTAATCTTGTCCCTGTTCTTTAAAAATGTTGCCAATGTAGAACTGGCTAAATTTTTCTGTTTGCAGATTACAGCTTGTTCTTTACCACTTTCGAACTCTTTTATTATTGATGATAAAAAGGTTTTTCTTTTTGAAGACAGGACAAAGTGTTCTCTGCTTGATAAGTTATTCAAGACAGAGAAAGTCAGAAAAATAAGACTATTAGCACGCAATAACATTTCCAAAAAATTTCTAGTACACAATACGTAATGGAAACTTGCAGGATTTTTATTTCTTTTAGGGACTCTCGTTATAACCGATCTGTTTCCAAAAATTCTCAAAATTTGTCGCTATAACCGATCTTGAACAAAATAAAAGTTTTGTTATGTCCACCTTAATTCCAGAAAAATACTCGCTATAGAGGGAGAATTTTACATCGAGTAGTATAAAAAACGGCAAGGAACCAGACGATTTACTCGTTATAGCCGATTTTTCGTTATAACCGGGACTCGTTATAGAGGAGTTCCAATGTATTTTAAAATTACAAATCAATTTAAAAAACAAGTCTCACTAAACAGGCCAGAAATCCCAAAAATATGCAAATTTTCTTTGAATCTAAATCATTGATAAGTTAAAAATTCCCAGATGGTGGGAAACGCACATCTAGTTTTGTATGCTTTGATAGATTTGCACAGTGTTGAAATGATTGTAGACAAACACAAGCATGTTTTGTTGTGATTCATCATGCGTCTCAATATAAACCTGTTCAGGTGTATTCACTCACTGTCAGTTTGCAATAACAATTTGCTGTGAGCGGTGTGTTTAGTCACTTTGGAAAATATCGTCGTACTGCCAACAAATCCAAACCAAATGGTAAGATTGATAATCATTTAAACTGTAAAATTTTGCTGAGTTGGTAAATGCAATCAAGTAAACAATAGAGCGTAAAATGAGGCCAGAATATTTAATTATTGAAACGTGGCTATTATTTTGGAAAAAAGCTTTCCCGTGATGTACAAACAAATTAATGATGTCATAGCTTGAATTTCCTTGTGTTTGAGAATCCAATTAACTGTTTCTGTAATTAACAAGTTGTCATAATTTAATTCCAATTTTTAAAAAATTCCACTCTATTTTGCGCCAAATTAAATGAATAAAAAGTATTCAGTGAGCATCCGCTTTGCAATTTATCGGCTAATCTCCTGCAACATCCGTTTAATTATTTCTATGAACGAAAAACAAAAAAATAATCTAGAACGACTAATTCCCAAATTTGCTTTCACAATTGTTTCACACCTACATGAAAGAAAGTTTGTGAAAAAGCAGGACCGGACCCAAAATCCCAGTTACATAAGCCCACAAACATCCAAAGGTCAATGTCGATAAAACCTGACCTGTAAACAGGACGCCTATCATCCCGGGTCACCAGTGGCGTTTCACGATTTTCCCGGAATTACCAAACCTTGACATACCTGTGCCAGGTTTTTCCCGTAATAAGAGTGCAGACACGCCAATTGTTAAGGCCCCACGTCACTGGTAATTCAGAGACGAGTCGAGAAAGTGTTTTCATTGTAGGTCATACTTGAACTTTCTCCGTTGGCCCAGTGTTGCTCGAGTCGTGTTTGAAAACAGTTCTGTTCTAGCAAACATGAAGATAACCTTTGCGTCGTTCCTCCTCGTTGTGCTTTTAAAACACTCGAATCAACAATGTTTATCACAAAATGATAACGGAGTCCTCAACCCCCTCGGAAGGGAGAGACTCTACACCGGCCAGCAGGAGTTCTCTCTGGCCCTTTTACAAGCCATCAATCAATTGATGCCCCATGAGAACCTCTTCTTTTCGCCCTACTCCACCTACCATGCCCTTCTCATCGCCTATTTCCTCGCAGGAGGGCAAACCGAGAGCTATCTCAAGAAAATCCTCAGACTTGAGCCTTCACAGGTAACTAAATCGCTGATTTGAAAGCCGATTCATGTTCCAATTGTAGAATAAACCAGATTTTTATCAAGCGTATAAACTGGATAAGCTACAAACACTCAGAGCTAATCTAAACAGCTCACACCAGTTTACAAACGCTAATAAAATTTATGTAGCGGATCAGATTGATGTAAGGTCGTGTATCGAATCATTGTTTAAAGATGAATTGGAAAAAATTTCGTTTAAAAATGATCCCGAAGCGGCGAAGAACTTGATAAATGCGTGGGTGGAAGAACATACGCATAAGATGATTAAAGATTTGCTACCACCGGGGAGTATTGATCAAAGCAGTACTTTGGTTTTGGTCAATGCGGCTTATTTTAAGGGCACATGGGAAAATAAATTTAATCCTAACGAAACAAGACCCGAAATTTTTTATGTTAGCCCTTCAAAGCAAATCATGGTCGATATGATGCACATTGAGGGGACCTTCAACCACGGTGAGTACTCCTGAACTAGAACCAAAAAAGATGAAATATTGTGCCACTTTTTTATTGATTCTAGATTCTAGTAATTCTGTCATTTTGATATTTTATTTATTGTTAAAACAAGATATCTCAAAACTAAGTCAATTTCAGTTACTTAAATCACTTTCAATAAAATTGTTAAAAATAAGCTATGAGATTTTTTGATGAAATTGTTTTTTTTTCCAATTTTATGGGAGAAATAAATTAATTGAACAAAACATTTTTCCTAGTAAGGTCACATATTAATTTAGTGTAATATACATAACTTCATAATTTTAGAAAGAAGTATTTTGATGATGGGTGGGAATCTCTGGTGTGTAGATGATTATTAGCATAAAAGTAATATTAATTTAAAGAAAAAATACTTTATAGAAATTCATTGTTAAAAGGTTTTATAAAAGGTTGTAGTTTAGTTCTTAAATTTCAACAATTTGTAATGTTTTAATTATTCTTTTCTATTAAAATTCAATCTGGCTGGGTAAAATGAAATGAAAAAAATTACTAAAATTACTTATTATTATTTCAGAGGTTTCTTTTTAAAATTTTTTAATCAAATTTGCAATAAAATAGTATACAACACCACTAGAGAAAATTGCTATTATTCCTTTGGTGCTTCACTCTCTGGCTGTAGACGACATCTCAGCAATAATCGTGCATTTCTCTCCTTTTATGTATAATATACTATTATCCCAGCATTTTATCAATTTTGGTATTATTTAGGCTAATTTCTTTTTAACAATTTCTGTATTTAATAAAATTTCTGATCCAATATTAGTATGGGAAAAAATTTTGAAGACAACACAAGTTTTATAGTTTAAAACTTTTATTGTCTTAATAGCTATATTATTATTTCAGAAGTTTCTTTTTAAAATAATAAAATTCATTTATTCTTCGACACTGTCAAAATTTATGGTTTTTCTCCCGTGTAAGAAAGTTTTGACAACTGTTTGGCATTTCTCAATACGAAACGTCAAATTATTTTTAACAGATTTAAAGCACGTTTAAGCCTTGTTGAGTCTAATTCGAACAATAAAATGTTGTATTCAACTCGTTTGAGTGTAAATCGGACGCTTTATTCCACCTCGTGGATGGTAAACCACTCGTTACACTCGTGGTTTAAAAATCCATTCGGTCAAATAAACCGATTTACACTCACACTCGTCGAATAAATAACTATTAATTACTTTGAAAATGCAAATTAAAAATTAAAACATAAAAACCACAAAATATTACGAAAAAACATTCATTTTTTAACGGGAAACAGTATTTTTTCCAATAAGTGTTTTTTTTTTTTTGTAAGTTTTTATCATAGCATTTGTAATATATTTTAGAGAAATATTCTGGTAATTGAAATTTCTTTAACTTACTGTAAAAAAACTCAGAAACAGAAGATATGAAAATTAACAAGTCTCACATTATCAGAATTTCAAAGTCACAAGACATTTTAATCAGAAATTTTATTGTGCGCATGGTAGATATTTTTAAAAACGTGAGAATTTTCAAAAGGAAATTATCAGGATTTTTTTGTTAATTCAAACTTTTTAACCCAATATGTCTATAGTTTAGTGGAAGGAAACCCTAAACGCGTGTGTTGCAGACGTTTCCGAGAGTCTGGAGGCTCATATTTTGGAAATGCCGTACAAAGGCAGCGACATCAGCATGTACATCCTTTTGCCCCCTTTTACCAAAGAAGACGCCATCGACAAAACCCTCAAAAAACTGACTTTAGAAAAGTTCAAAAGCATCGTCAATAGCAGTAGTTTGACGTCAAAGACTGTCCAAGTGTCCTTCCCCAAGTTTTCCCTCGAACACACCGTCGAGTTAGTTCCGGTAAGTTGGCTTTGAAGCCTTCGTCCTCGCTTACTGTACTAACATTTAGATTCTTGAATCGTTGGGTGTGGGCAATCTCTTCAAAAAAGATGCAGATTTCTCAAAACTCTCCTCTAACCCCGAAGTCTCGGTGGGTCGAGGCATCCACAAAGCAAGAATCGTTATAAACGAACAAGGGGCTCACGCCGCCGCCGCCACCGCTTTCTTCACTTGGCGCATGATGGGCGACGACGATGACAACCCCATCGAATTCAAATGCAACCGCCCTTTCGTCTTTCTTATTTACAACAAAATCACGCACACTATTCTCTTCACGGGAGTGTTTAATAAACCCGAATAGCACTTTACTAATACCTTGTATTTCTGTATATAGTCGCAATAAAGCTTTACGTAATTGTTTAACGGTTTTTGGGGGTTATTTTAGGTGTTAGAAAAAATGGGGGTTGGAGATTTGTTCCAAAACGGAGTCGATTTCACCACACTCACGAAGAGTAAAGTTGAGCTCGGCAACGCTTTGCACAAGGCGAGGATCGAGTGCAATGAGGAGGGCACCAAAGCTGCCGCCGCCACTGTACTCTTCAGTTTCAGGTCGAGCAGACCGGCCGAACCGGCACAGTTCCACTGCAATCATCCTTTTATTTATGTTATTTATGATAAAGTCGCTAAAGCTGTTTTGTTCACCGGGGTCTTCAGGAGACCCGTTTAAGACTTTGTTTTGTTTTTGTGATTGTTATTATTTATTGTCTAAACACTGTTCTTATTTTAATATTCATTTCGGGACGCAATATTTCAAATAAAGACTTTCTAACATTTAAATCGATTATTTTTAATATGTATCATAAACTTAATTTAATGACAATGTGCCCATTTAGGACGGAGCAAATCAGCTAATTAACAAATTTGCATGTATTTATTACGAAATTTTTCGCAATTTGAATAATTAATTGCACCATTCAATTCTAATTGTGAGAATGCGTCAGAGATTTTGACGTCAAAAAAAATTAAATGAATATCAAAATTGATCTACTGTATTTTAAACTTTATAGTTTGCATCTGAAAAATGCTTCATTGCAGCATTTTTTTTTTTTTGAAAGAATAAATCAAAGGATTACTTTGTTAACATTAATATAATCATTTTATTTAATAGTTTATATAATACAACTATATTATTGAACTACTAGTAAGAGCTGTCTGACAAGAGACTATAATTTCAGTACTGAATTTAGTACTGAAAAAATTGCGCGCGCAAATTTACTTAATTTGAATGCAAGAAAATTCTTGGATGAGAGCTTGCTAAAACTGCGCACTAAAAATGCGTGTTTGGTCGGCGAAGAAAGCACTTTGTTTTGTATGTTTGAAACCGTTTCTTCAAATCATTTTTTTTGAAACTTGGATTTGCAGGTATTTAAATTTAATTTAATAATCCTCTGCCCTCCAATCTTCTGTTTATCTATTTTCTTACCCAAATATGTCGCTTTTTTGTTCAGTACTGAAATTAGTCTCGTGTCGACAGCTCTTTAAGGCTCCTTCAGAACATTTTGTTTTTAAGCATTTTGACCTAGTTTTCAAAGGCATGTTTAAAAAAGCAAAATTATATGCGGGCTCCCTCAGTACACAACACTTTTTTATGGAGTCTGTCTTCTTTATAAGGTTTATTAATAAAATCAAATATTTCATGATTTATTAAATTAATTATCAAAAAATAAATAAATAAATAATAATACCTTCATTCCAACAGGTAAATTGTCTATAAAGGAAAGAAGAAAAAGAAGAAGTATAAAGGAAAAGCAAACTATAATAATAATGTAAGCAATAATAATAGTGACAACTAACGAAACGAAGTAGCGAGCATTCCGGGGACTATGCCTATTTATATGTATAATGTTAAAAAAAAATTTTTTTAATAACATTCGGTTTAGTACATCTAGGGTCCATGTCCATTTGATATGTTGTTCAGAGCATTCTCGTCGGACTCATTGGAGCTGGTGGTATAATTGCAATAATAAAACAATATAAAAAGAAAAACTACTGTTACATCATTTTTACTCAGGGTCCAAATTTCCTAGTGCTCATGTGAATTCTCTTCGGTCTTCTCCCGTCGCAAATTTAATTGTGATGCAGACAAAATCACTGATTCGTAATTTTAATTCTCTTTCATTTTGTAATCGTAATGGCTGCCTCGGACTCGGAAAATTATTTATAGGAGGTGCAGAATCTTGTATTGTTATCTTTCTTAGGGACGCTGTAACTGTTTTATAAATTGTTAAAATAATGTTTTCCCCCGCGGAATACTTCGGCACGTGTACTGAAAGGTATTGTTAAACGTTTCTGTTGAAGACGTTAATTATGTTTACAAAAAATTTTTTTTTTTATTATACACTGTGTCAATTTTAAAACTTGCAGTCGGCAATATCTCTCAACTGAAAAAGTTATTGAAAATCACTCAAACCCGTTTTGGGGGTTCCTAGGGGTAATCAAAATGTCATGGTAAGTGACGCACCTCTACCCACTTTTGAATATAATAAAAAAAAATTAAAGTCTTCGTTTTTGAATAATTGGAAAAACGGCTTTACCAAATAGGCTGTTGTATGACATTTTTGAAAAGCGCTTGTTATGAGCTTTCTAACAATGTATTACAAGTAGGGTCGTGCCATTTAAAATTTTCAACTTAAGGTGGCTGTGGCTTCAAGGGTGGGTGGAGGTGCGTCACTTACCATGCCATTTTGATTCGACCTAGAAACCACCACATATTATACTCATATACAGGGTGATTCACGAGGAATAGTGAGCCTGACCAAATTTTCGATGCAACCAACATTACAGTTGTCGCAAAATAACTTGCGAAGAGTAATGGTGGTTGCATCGAGAATTTGGTCAGGCTCATTATTCCTCGTGAATCACCTTGTAGTTATTAATTATTATTATAATAAAAAAAATCAACAACAATATATAAAACATGATAATTAATTTAATAAATTCTTTTTCTTATGAAATATTTCTTTTTCTTAATAAACCTTCTATGTTAAAAAGGACTCTATAAAAAAGTGTGTTGGAATTTTATCATTATTATAGAGGAATCACGATAATAAACCTTTCGCTGAAGTGGCCCAACAAAAACAATAAGGCAAAAAGGGGAATTGTAAGTGTTTTCAAAAGTGAATTTGTTTGACCGACATCGTATTCATATGTGTGCTGAAGTGGTCCAATAAAAAAAACAGGGTGATTCTGGAGGCTTTTTATTATGCTTTAAAATCGGGCGAATGAAAATGTTACTTTTTAAAAACCACCTTACAAATAGGACAGAATTTTTGAAACATTTGCTCTTTAAAAACAGGTAAAACCCTTAAAAATACAAAGTGTTCAGAATACAGAAATCTAAAAATATAGGTAGGTCAAACTTCAGCCGATTACAATACATTCCTTATAGGATAAGGAAAGTAAAAAATTAGTATTAAGAGGCCAAAAAGGGAAAAACACAGAAAATGTAACCTGCAACTGCTGAAACCGGAAATTGAGTAGATGCATCCGTTTTTCGTAATTACTAGCCTAAAGGGTATGTTCTCGCATGTAACTATTCCAAATTTTATAATATTTGGTCAAATGGTTTCAAAGTTATTACAAAAAAAAAATTTCGTTACCCACATTCCCAGGGCTGTAAAATTCTTATCATTAGAGATCGGACACGAGTTATTATTTTTAATTAATATCATTTTATACGTCATTTTTGAGGTTCAAATATTGCTTCATATTTATGAATAACCCAATAGTATACAGGGTGTTTCACACAATTTTACGAGGCTTGCGCCTAATGTACGCACCCAAATATACAAAATTCACAAGACACTAGATACAAAAAATACGCATTTAATTATTTAATTTTTGGAAACCCATGACAATAGTTGTCAAACTAATTATTGTTTCATTAATAGTCATAAACTGCAGTTTTTCAGAAACAATTATCATTTGTTCCATTAAGAGACGGCATGAATAGGATTGTAGTTTATCTATCTTAATCACTAACTAACTAAAAATGTTGTAATTTTTGAAAGGGTGAACAAACTAGAAAAGATTATCCAATTTTTCAAAATTTGTAATAGAGTTCGTATCAGAATATGCATTACTGATTGCATCTTCCAGGCATAGGCCTCGTAAAATTATGTGAAACACCTGTATAAAAAAACAATAATAACAAATGCGTAAAACGTAAAAAACATTTAAATACAATGTACTTACACGATTATCACTCAGACCTATTTCAAAGCAGTTTTATCAATTATTATTGATAATAATTAATAATAACAATGCTATAAAAAATTCCTACGTTCAACGTTCCATTAGAAGAAACAATACCCTAATAATAAAAAATAGTAGGTTGATAAAATAAGAACCAAACAATAGATAATTTGCACTCACCTCTTAATTGATTATCATTGTTAAGAAAAAAATGACCAACTCAATAAAAAATACAATTAAATGTACAGACAATCCAAACATCAGTCTTGTATTGTTGGTTGCCTACATATCAAAATAGAATAAAAAAGCAATTGCATKATAAGGGTTCATTAATCATATTATCACTTTAATGACCGTCTTTTCACGGTTTGTTATTATTATATTTCCCACTTGTGATATTTTTAATAACGAAACTTCAAAGTCCTGTCCGGAATAATGAACTGGATCATACGATTCTACGTCAATGGTCACGTGAGACGTATGGCGCCTCTTGCGGCTCGACGCGTCCAAATTTGAAAAATCAATAAAAACAGATAAATGCCAATTTCGTGTTGAAATGTTGCGTTAAAAGTGTTAAAGAAGCGCTTTTGTCCCGGAAATCGTGTCGAATTTCGCTTGGCATAACTGTTGTTATCGGTGGTGCGATTTGTTGCGTTAGTATCTCCCAGCTGTACCGTCGCTACTTAAATAAGTTTCGTGGCTTCGAGCACTTATTCCGCGACGAAATTCGAGCGTGGAGCGAGTGAACGAGTGAAAAGTCAGGAAAAAACTTCGCGAAAGTACCGTTGTGTCAACAATCAAGTGACCTAGTGATGCTGTTTTGTCTTTGATTTTTGACGTTTGCCAAATTTCGCTACGTGTCAAAAATTTCAGCTTTTTGGCATTTTCTGTGCACAGTTCGATGTTGGGTAAGGATGGTGTCCTTGGGGACACATTTTGCATAAATCCGGTACTTTTTGCATTCTTGGGATTGGGCGATTGCTGGGAAATTTGGACGAGGTGGGGCACTATTGAGGTTATGTTTCGTTGCAGATTTACATGAATCAGCCACACAAAATTTAATTATGTCGAGGAAAAGGACCAGAAGTCGGTCGGAAGACAATGTCGCCACCAACCATGTCCAAAATCTGACCAACGTAAGTAGAGATTTTTTTCAGGTATTCTAAGGTTAGGCCGATTTTGACCCCGACTATAAATACCCCAATTTTATATTTAGAACGTTAAAGAACTGAAATAATCGCGAAATCGGAAAAACATCAATTGTTATCAGCTGAAAGGCTTGTGCACTAGGTAACTTTTTAGAGGAGTGTCCTTATCTTGTAAAAATTTACTATTCCATGATAAAAATTGTGTAGTACACGTAGGTAGCATAAACAATGTCGCCTCTTAATAATGAGTGATTATCCAACAATCATTGTAAATTACAACAATTTAGTTTAAGTTGACTCATTCTTGCTTTAATTTTAAAATTATTTATTGTTGCATTCTTTATTGGAAGCCGGAAGTCCCTTGTAATGTTAACTATGGTTATGTAAATCAAAATTTCCACAAGTTTTTGTAACTATTGGTACTTTCCTATTCATTTAGAAAAAGTGGGCAATTGGTTGAATTATTTATATCACAATAGAATGATAATTTTGAACCTTGACAAATCAGCTGATATGCAATGAATGCATTATCTAATGGCTTTTTCAATATCTGTGGTTTTTAAACTCTCAAAGTCCCACACGTTTTATTTTTTTATGCTGCGCTGATATGGAAGTTTCTACCGCGAAATGAGGAGAAATATGTTCTTTCGACATATTTACTTTATAAAAGATAATCTTTTTCCTTTACCCTCGATTCTAGAGAAAAACTTGAATTAAAGTTCAGCTGGGTTTATCTCTGATGTGTTTTTAAAAATAAATTCCTGTAATTTGTTATGATGAATCAATAGGGGAAAAGCTAAAAATAAGACTATCTGTTGGAAATAAAATGTGACTTTTTGATTTATTTTGTTTCTGTACTAAAAGGTACATGGTCGCGAAAAAAGAAAACTTATCCAATTCCGGTAAAATTCTAATGATAATATTGAAACTTGTTGACTATAAGTTATTTTCTTGAGATAGCGTTTAAATTACATTTGTTTATATTAGTAAGTAGGTACTTTGAATTATTCAGTAACAAAACAAAATCGTTAGATATGAATTATTGATCTATTTCGGTAAGGAATTCCATTTTGTTAATCGTCTCGATTTGTGAAATATGTGTCATTAAATCGCAAGGTTACTTTCACGAAATTACAGTTTGCATGTGAGAGTAATAAAAGAATGTAGGTTACAAAGATAGCTAAAGTTACGATTTTTTATGTATACTTACAATAAGTACTTGTGTGTAAAAAAAATATGTGGAGGCTGTAAAAAGGAACATAATTTTCGTTTCATTAATTTCAACTTTAAGACATAATTAATTTTTGACAAAAATGTACAAAATTCAAAGTAAAGTGTATTTCTTAATTTAAAATTAGGTCAGATAATTTAATTTAATAAACTTTCTTAATAATTAAAGCACAACTCGTTTATTCTGCTTTGAAAAAAAATCGTAATCGCAACATGTGAGACAATAGCTTAAAAACAAGTAATTTTGTATTGTTTCTTGGGTTATGGTCGTTTACTTTTTGATAAACTTAATTTCAGTTTCCTGGTAGTACTTAAAATTATAGTTTCAAAGCCGTTTTTTTTGCCTCCATGGTCATTTAACGTAATTCTTATTTGTAAGCTTGTCGATGAAATTAGTGGAAAAATTTGAAGACCTTTAATGATTCGCACGGCCTCTAATAAATTATTTATTGGTGGTTTCAGTCAACAACAAATACTTTTGTCAACTTATTGATTCCTGAAAGTTTCATTTCGTGGAAGATCAGATTTATTTTTAACCCTTATTTCACCACTAAGGTGTAAATAAATCTATATTTAGACAAGAGACAAGTAAAATAAAAGTCAACGCATGACTTATTTTTGTATTTTCTAAAATAATTCCGAAGAAAGCGAATTTTCTAATTAGACACGCGAACGTAAATTCTTTATGAACCTCATTGCACACGCACAGAAAAATATCTCAAATTACATAATTTTTCGTTGATGAAAATCGTCACGTTTTCGTAAAAAAAAAATTGATTTTCTAAGTTTTTCCTCAGGTGATATGGGCACCGTCTTTTATCGTGTGGTTAAAAACAAAGTTTAAAAGATACTTAAAACAGTACGGAAACTAAGTATACGTGTTGCTAGTGGCATTTCATACCAAAAAACAGTACGAAAACTGTAAGTATACGTGTAGCTAGTGGCACTTCGTACCAACGTAGCACAAGTCGTAGCATTAGAAAATTTGCGTTGTTATTCGTGCAATTTGATTGGATAGTTTTAATTTGTAGGCGTTCTGCACAGCCGCACCTTTTAGCGAAGACCCCGAACCGACAAAAATTCGCGAAGAATGCGATTACAACATTAAAATAACACTCGAAATGGCGAAAAGTGGCAACACCCCACGGCCTGTCCGAGTCTACGCCGATGGAGCGTTTGATCTGTTTCATCAAGGACATGCCAAAGTGCTCATGCAGGCCAAACAGGCCTTTCCGAATGTTTATCTGATCGTAGGAGGTACTAACCGACCGAGAACGGTGATTGTTATTATTGACAATCGCCGTTTAATTAACGATTGTGACTTTCCAATTTTGCTATTTTTTTCTAGTTTCTAATGATACAATGCTCCGCGAATTGAAAGGCAGGACTGTGATGACCGAAGATGAGAGGTATAACGCCGTGAGGCACTGTAGATATGTTGATGAGGTTTTGCGGGACGCACCATGGGAATACACTGATGAATTTCTCGAGAATAATAAAATCGATTTCGTGGCCCATGACGATATACCGTACGAGTCGGAAAATACCGACGATACATACGGGGAATTGAAAAAACGAGGAATGTTTTTAGCAACTGAAAGAACTGAAGGTGTATCGACGTCAGATATTGTTGCAAGGATCGTCAGGGATTATGATATTTATGTCAGGAGGAATTTAGCAAGAGGGTATTCAGCTAAAGATCTGAATGTCGGTTATATTAAAGAAAAGACTCTGAAATTGCAAAATAAAATGGACGAATTGAAGGATAAAGGCAAAAATTTGATTGATACAATCGGGGAAAGAACCGATGATATAATAATGAAGTGGAAGGACGAGTCCAGGGAGGTTATCGATAGTTTTTTGGAGTATTTTTTTAAGAGGCCGATGCGAATTTGGAAGGAGTCTAAAGGGAAGTTTTTGCGAGCTTTAACTCCTCCGGGAACTCCCTGTTCGGGGACCGATGACGAAGACGATTCTAGTCCGCCGCGCAAAATCCGGCGCGTGTTTTAATTATAGTACATTTTTTATACTTTATTTTTTATTGTACTTACTGTTGGTTTGTTGTATTAATTTTAATAAACGTTAAGTAACACATTGCGGTTTTTATTGGCCAAGCAATTGTTGAATTAGCCTACGGCTATAAGTACAGTCGTATCGTCAAATTTATCAAGTGTCTGTGATCGAGACGGTGCCTCAATGCCAAGGAAATCTTCATTAGTGTTAGAAAAGGTCACAAATTCTTATCTCGTGTCAGATACATTCGAATTAGTCGGCATGTGCTATTTATAGTGATGGAAGAATTTGGGTTGTGAAATTCGTTTTTTTTTCTGTTACAGTCGATTTGTAGACCGGCACCGTTCAGCGATGAGTCGGAAGCGATCCGAATCCGAGAATTGTGCGATTATTCGCAAAGGATCACCTACGAAATGGCGTACAGTGGCAAGGCGCCGAGGCCGGTGCGGGTTTACGCTGACGGAATCTACGACCTGTTTCATCAAGGACATGCGAGACAGCTTCTGCAAGCCAAAAATGTGTTTCCCAACGTCTACCTCATCGTGGGAGGTAATTATCATGTTTTAGATAAACGTGGGGTAAGAAAAATCAAGAACGGACGGTGGTTTTGGCGTGAAATAAAACTTGAAGTTTTGGAACACACTGTATCGTTAATAAAAATTTGAATTTTTATCAAGCTTAAACGCGATTGGAGCATTATGGTGGCGCGATGGAAACGATGAAATATAATGAGGGATTTCATTTGGAACTGATGATTACAGCATTTCCGYAAAATGTACTTGACGGTCTCTGAATTCTGACATATTAAGAGATAAGACAGCACTTTGATTACATTTTTTTATAACTTARTCACAGAAATAAATCCATTCATTTTGATTTGTTGGTTGCATAACCATCAAGCTGTTGATAGCATCATGAGTGGTCTCAAACTTTGAGACCAGTTTTTGGTGTGTGAAATCCATTGCAGATTATGTTTTCAGTGTGTAACGACAACCTGACGCATAGTCAGAAGGGGCGCACTGTGATGAACGAGGCAGAGCGCTACGAGGCGGTGCGCCACTGCCGTTACGTGGACGAAGTGGTCCGGGACGCCCCCTGGGAGGTGGACGAGGCGTACATGTTGAAGCATAAGATCGATTTCATCGCCCACGATGACCTGCCGTATGGCACCGACGACAGCAACGACATCTACGCCCCTTGGAAAGCTAAGGGGATGTTTGTAGCGACAGAGCGCACCGAAGGAGTCTCCACGTCGGATATTGTCGCTCGGATAGTCCGAGATTACGATATCTACGTGCGAAGGAACCTGGCGAGGGGCTACTCGGCCAAAGACCTTAATATTTCCTATCTCAGTGAGAAGAAAATTCGCCTCCAGAATAAAATGCATGAGCTGAAGGATAAGGGTAAGAGGGTGATTGATACGATAGGGGAGAGGAAGGACGATATGATCGCCAAGTGGGAGGAGAAGTCGAGGGAGTTTATTGAGAATTTCCTCTTGTTGTTCGGGAGGGAGAGACTGACGAATATTTGGAATGAGTCTAAAGGGAAGATTATGAATGCGTTGAGTCCCCCGAGCTCGCCCATACCACCAGCCTCCCCCACGAATGGAGTGTGCGATTTCGGTGAGGAAGGGATCCCCCCGAGGAAAAACGCCCGATATGAATCGCCGTCGTCCTCATCGTCAGCTAGGACCAAATATTTGAGTGAAGATTATAGTGATGAGGATGAGTTTTTTCCGGTGGAAAATGGAGTGAAAGAGTAATTTTGGTTTATATTGTTCAAATTTTGTGTAAATGTACCACGATTTATTATATTATTATTTATTTACGTGTTATTTATTGTTTGTGCCAATTTTTTGTCGTAGTTTGCGTCACCGTCCATTAAATTACGACAAGAAATTACCATCGTGATTGCGACAAGTAATTTTATTTAGAATAATGATGAGTCCCGCTTATTTGCATTGAAAACAAACTTATGAAATCTTTGCCAAAATAATATGCGCATTCACACTGTAAACATTTTTTTATTTAGCTGTATTTTATACGTATTTCGGGGGTTATTCTAGTGTTAAACTCATCGTTAGACGTTCTCTGATATTAGAATTGAGTATTAATTGTCAAGTGATAAGAATAGGGTTAATATTTTCTCCACAAGTGTGATTACGACATGTACTGCAGAACTGATAACAGCTTTATTATCTGTTAATAATTGTCATAAACTAGACCTGGATGTGATCTACAAATATGATCCTATTTTTGTAGACTATTTACAAGCACTTTGTTTTATAGTATTTTAGTGATGATAACATGAAAATAACTAAGCCAAAGCTGTGTTAGGAAAAATCAAAATTATGCTCTGGCATAAAGTTAGCACGTTTTGAACATTGTTTGCGAATTTTTGAATACACACCAAAGCTAAAGCAATCGAAATTGGATTTTGTTGATACATAAATTTATGTAATGAAATATTCGCCAAGTCTGTATGTATATTTTATCAATAAAGTTTTTTGGTTACGAAGTTTCCGTTGTATATTTGACCCCCATTTGAAAACTGGCCACTCAAAAAAAAAAATGTTTGCATTTTTCAATGTTTTTGTGACATTCACTGCAATTTTACTATTTAGGAGTTTAGGACAGTAATTTTAGATAAGAATTTATTTATGGTAATGTACGAAATTAAACAATGAAAGAGTTATTTTTATTATTACTTATTTTAGAATTTCAAATTTGAAACAATCTGGCAACGCGGAACACAGTCATCATCACACATTTGACCTTAAAAAAATAAAATGCATCTCTGGAATTCTAAGATAGTGTTAATATACATTTGCGCTTTACAATATTTAACATTTTTTGTTTAAACGCACATTTGGCACTTTTTTTTCTTTAATTCCTGGCGACGTTGCCAATTTGCAATATGCAAGATAAATTACAGAAATTCTCCTGGTTTCTCCTTATCAGAATAATTTGCGATAAGCAATTTATTTATCCCAGAACATTACATTTTTGTTCAACAAATGTAAAAACATCATTAATTATAATTACCACCAGCAGTGGCAATTTTTTATTTTTATTACGCAAGAAGGACACCCCGGCGATAAACTTCAAACGCGTCACGTGTTTTTTATCGCATAAAACCCACTGAAATAAATATTCAGACACGCCACTGGCCGTGCATATCTTCAGCGTTCTTGCTCGCCTTTGCTGCTCGCGCTGTCACTCAAACTTAACCTAAAAATACGCGGCCTTGTCTCAATTTCGCACATTTTTTATTGTGAAAAGCCGAAAAATCAATGGTGGGTGGCAAGAGTGGCATGTCTAAGAGAGATTGGCGACCTTTTGTGTACGGCGGCCTCGCATCGTGTGTTGCAGAGTTCGGTGAGTTGCCTCAAACCTAACCTAAAAAATGTGACCGATTGACTCATAGGAACGTTCCCCATCGACACCTCGAAGACCAGGTTGCAGATTCAGGGTCAAACGTTGGATAAGAATCATGCCACACTCAAGTACAGGGGCATGGTGGACTGTTTGTTGAAAATCGGGAAACACGAAGGCTTCGCGGGGTTGTATTCTGGGTAATTCCCCGAGATTCGACTGAATCTATAGGAAAATAAAGTGATGTTTTGCAGTATTTGGCCTGCGGTGCTGCGACAAGCCACTTATGGAACTATTAAGTTTGGTACTTACTATTCTCTTAAGCAGATAATAGTTGAATATAATGGGAGAGAGAGTGTCACCGTTAATTTATGCTGTGCTGTGATAGCGGGGGCTGTGTCGAGTGCCATCGCCACCCCCACTGATGTTATTAAAGTCCGGATGCAAGTTCAGGGGATTCAAGCCAATGTTGGCCTGATTGACTGCTTCAAGGACGTTTACACTCATGAAGGAATCTCAGGATTGTGGAAAGTAAGTTTTCGAATGTTTACAATTTCGAAATAAATTGTTTTTCAAGGGGGTCAGCCCTACCGCCCAAAGAGCTGCAGTGATTGCCGCAGTTGAATTGCCAGTATACGATTTTTGCAAAAGTCGGCTTATTAACACATTTGGTGATAATATTGCAAATCATTTTATGTAAGTATATTTTTTAGCTTGTGGTTATAATAATTGAAAAAAAATATTTTAGGTCTAGTCTTTTTGCCAGTTTGGGAAGCGCGATAGCTTCAACTCCAATAGATGTAGTGAGAGTAAGTAATTGTAACGAAAGCTCAGCTTTTACTAATTTTTTTCAACCCCAGACCAGGTTAATGAACCAAAGAAAATTAAAAACAAGTGGTGATCTCTTACCCGCCCACATTTACACAAGCACCGCCAACTGTTTTTACCAAACATTCAAAAACGAAGGGTTTTGGGCATTTTACAAAGGATTCGTCCCTACTCTATTCAGAATGGGACCGTGGAATATAATTTTCTTCATAACTTATGAACAGTTGAAGAAATTGTATTAAAAACACATCAGCATTTCTTTTAAGTATTAAGACTAAAGGCATTATTTATTTTTAAATGTACAAATGCACGCTACAAAAGTATTTCAAATAAATAATTACAATCAATTGTGTTTTTTATTTCCCGTCTGATGGGAGACAGCGAGGTACTTGCCGCGATGACTGAATGTGTAAAATGAAGGAATGTTACGGAAAGTCTCCCAAGACTTGTTTTCCAGCTCGGCTGAGGCTTTTATTTCTTTGAAATCACCCGCGACGTTCATTACGCCATACATGATAACAAAAAGGCTAATTAAAGCCTGGATTATAATCTGAAAGTTGCACAACGTAATGATATTATTTAAAACACATTAATTACGTACATCGAGCGGCAAATGCGAAAAATCCAACTCATTTAAACGTAAATACGAACGATCTAAAATTACAATTTGAGGTTATGTCAATTTTTATAAAAAAAAATACTCACGTTGAGCTGCCGAATACGCCGAGTGAAACAATGATAAGAAACCAACACTTAAAACGAATCGATGCAAAAAGGTCGCTGGCATTTCTATTAATTTAATTTAAATTATTCGATTAAAAATTACCACAGTTGAATAGGGTTTTTTATATCTTGTAATTTTATTACGTTGGCACCAGTTTTATGAATTATTATTAACAATTTGGATGTTATGGTAATTTTTTGGTTTATAAAAATTGTCTTCTTATTTAAAATTCTAGTGTTATGACTAATAAATTATTTATAAATTTCATAAATCAGCCATTTGGTACAGTTTAGACCCAAAAGTTCAAATCTAGCGCCAGTTGCAATTACCCTAGTGTCACTCAAATGTCAACAAGAGATTGTAAAGAAAAACAAAGATCATCGCACTTTATTCGTCAAAACAGATTAAAAATCGCAATTTAATTCAAGTTTGTGCATCATGGGTGCGGTTCTAGGTCTGTGCTCGGCTGCTCAGGTTTGATTTCCGCTGTTTATACCCAATCCTCTCTTACAAATTGATTTTTAGTTGGCCTGTTGTTGCGGGAGCACTGCTTGCTCTTTGTGCTGTTCAGCATGCCCTTCATGTCGCAATTCAACTTCTTCTAGGATCATGTACGCTTTAATGCTACTCCTGGGAACTATAACCGCCTGTGTCATGCTGGCCCCTGGTCTGCAGGACGCCCTGCGAAAGGTCCCGTTTTGTTCAAACAGCACGAACAATTACCTTCCGACTTCCGTCTCAATTAATTGCGACCAGGCCGTTGGATATCTCGCAGTTTATCGAATTTGTTTCATTCTGACTTGTTTCTTTGTCTTGATGGCGCTAATGATGATTGGTGTCAAGTCGTCACGTGATCCAAGAAGTGGCATCCAGAACGGGTAAGCCCCCGAGAATTGTTTTACAGCTGAGGGAAACCAATCTTTGATTACAGTTTTTGGGGGTTGAAATATTTAGTTGTGATTGGTGGGATAATCGGGGCATTTTTCATCCCCGAAGGATCGTTTGGTGACACTTGGATGTATTTCGGGATGATTGGTGGTTTTCTATTTATTGTGATTCAATTAATTTTGATTGTTGATTTTGCGCACTCTTGGGCCGAGTCATGGGTTGGTAATTACGAGGAGACCGAATCGAAGGGGTGGTATTTTGCCCTTCTTGCGATAACTTTCCTGAATTACGCCTTGACCATCACTGGAGTTGTTCTCCTGTTTGTATTTTTCACAAAAGTAAGTATTTTGTCTGTGTCTGGCACGAAATAGTTGTAATTTTTCCAGTCTGATGGTTGCGACCTGAACAAATTCTTTATTTCCATCAACTTGATTTTATCAGTTGTCATAAGTGTGGTATCGATTTTACCGGCCGTTCAAGAGAAATTGCCAAGGTCGGGTCTTCTCCAATCGTCAGTTGTTTCTTTATATGTGACATATCTTACATGGTCGGCAGTTTCAAATTCACCAGGTATTTCGTAAAAATCCTCTAAATAAAAAGTAATTATTTTGTGATAGAATCCAGTTGCAATCCCGGTCTTTTGGGCATTGTGGGTGCCGGCACCCCAAAAAAAGACAATGAGATGACTTTCGATGGCGAGGGAATCGTCGGGTTAGTCGTCTGGATGTGTTGCGTCTTATATTCGTCGTTGCGTTCGGCCAGTCAATCATCAAAAATAACAATGTCAGAGAAGATGCTAGTCAAAGATAACGGCGCCGGTAAGTTAGGACACTAACAAAAAAATTTCTTTTTTTTTTTCATAGCATTATGTAGTGCGTTGTTTTTGCTTGTACTACGAAGTAAATTTAAGGTAGGGGTGACCACTTGCCGCTCAGGTCAGTGTTTGAGAGAGAGGGCCTGTTGTGGGCTCACTTTGAACCTACAGGTTGAGTCATTTTCATATAAGACTGACACTCCTAGGAGAACTTAAGTCAAAACATTTAACTATTTATGTATTAAAAAGACATTTTCTGGCCTTGGAGTAATGGGAAAATCCATAAAGTTGAAAATTTTAATGAAATTGGCTTTGGTAACTATATGGAAAATTATATATTCTGAAGTTGTATCAGACATTTCACATGCGGAAGTGATCAGCCCTGTTTTAATATTTTATTAATAAATTTTCATTTTTGTGCAGTTAGGGGCAGCGGCTCGGACAACCTCGTTGAAAACGAAGGTACGACATAATTTTCTGTTGTGTGGCTAGTTGAGTAAAACAGACACCATAATGCTATGTTTATTGTTGCCGGTTTTATCCGTCTTGCTCTTTTTTACTTGCCCGTTTCTTTCCTTTTTTTTAACTATGGGAGGTTTTTGTATTGAAGGCTATATCCCTATCGCAGGTAGAGATGACGGAGACGGGGGTGAAAAAGGTGAGAAGAAGGTATGGGATAATGAGGAAGAGACGGTTGCTTATTCTTGGAGTTTCTTCCATATTATGTTTGCTTTGGCTACACTGTATGTCATGATGACTCTTACTAATTGGTACAAGTGAGTATTTTTTCGATTTTTTTTTTCCAAATTTTGGATAAACCGTGTTTTAGACCAAACTCAAGTCTGAGTAAAGCCAATTCCGCTTCAATGTGGATAAAAGTAATTTCAAGCTGGTTGTGTATGATTTTATACGGATGGTCTCTGATAGCTCCCATCGCTTTACCAGATCGCGAATTTAATTAAATCTTGTCTGTATTTTTTTCTTGTGATATTAAGCGAGTTTGATTGTAATAATTAATAATACATAAACATTTATCTAGTGTTGAGATTAGTAGTAGAAACTTGTATTTATCACAAATTGTAATCGTATAGTCGTTTTTAAAAATATTATGTTTTTGTGTTCAACAAAAAAGCGGAATTTTTTTCTCCCACTATTGTACCTTCCAATTATCCTGATATCGCGCTGATTGATGTCATAACCGAGTAAATAATTTGCAAAACATTGTGGTTCCCCAACTCACAGTCTAAAAGTCCGCCCATTATCCAATCCGCGTCAGTTGGTTTAAAAATTTCTCCAGCGATGGTTGTGTCATTACCTTTGAAATACATCGGAAATAACATGACTTTGACTCTTGCGGGGAGTCAAAAGAGAGAGTTTTTAATTGTTGGAAACAACTGTGAAATTAAAATCAAAGATAATTTAGGGGGGATTAAAGTTGTTGGAAATAATTCAAAAGTAGAAGTTGCCAGTGGTAGAGGCAGCGTCGTTTATATTGGAAATAAAGGAAATGTTTGTTTGGCTGGGAGTATAGAAGAGGATGTAGTGACATATGTGGGGAATAACGGAACAGTTTCGTCGAAAAATGGAATTCGGAGATGTGGGAAGCTGTGTTGTGAACTTATTAATTTTTAATTTATTGCTAATAAAAATAAGTTGATTTTTTGTCTTAAGTAAAATGAACTGTTGTTTTAGACGCTACATTACGCATTGTATCCCGATTTTTTTTCGAAAAGGGCCAAAAACCAACTTGTGCCTTTTAACGCCTATCGAAATTATATGGAAAATGTGACATTTATTGTTCTTTATTCAGACATTTTAATGTTATAATTTAAGAAGCTTTGAAATAAATACAATTTAATCTGCCCCTTCGTTGTCTCCTTGGGAGTGGCTCCCCACAGATTTTTCCTCCGCTGCTACACCACTTTCCGCCGATACTTTGGACAATTCTACACTGGGGGCCGAACCAATTGACCCTTGATCGGTAATTTGTGACCCTTTAATAGAACTTTGCACTGACCCCCCTTTACTGGAAACGACCGAGTCGTTCTCTTTTTGATCCAACGGACTAATAATACTTCCACTTCTGATCGACTCATTCGACTCTCTTTCCTTGGAGCCAAGCGTAGACGATGACCTAGTGGGGAACGGCACTGGGGGCGGTACCATGCTAGTTTTAGCCGCCATCATCCCAGTCGCGTTTTCCATGGGTCTGAGTGTAAACAAAGACCCAAAAACGATATGTTGCACTACCGGAAATTTACTCAAAACTTCTGCTTTGTACATTTTAATCAGCCCCCCGTTGATTTTTGTCCAAGATGAAACCCCGCTTATGCTCCAAAGCTGATTCGAGTGCTCGGCAAAGGGGCCACTCTTCACCGAATTTATGTATTGGATGCAAGTGAGAAACATAAAGTCGTCTCCGAATTGGTTCAAAATTTGGGGGACCAAAAAACCAGATGGTTCAATGATTGGATGGGCTAAATAAAAACATAAGTTAGAGCAAAAATAGCAAATTAAAATTTTTTACCAAATAACTGAGAACTACCCCAAATAAATGGAACAAACTGGTAGTCATCGAGGCTCCAAACGCCGTGGCTTCCGGCAGGTTCCATACGGTAGGTCTTTTGCAATTTTCGCGCCAAATCCAAATATCGGGTAAAAATGGCACAACCTGTTGCCGTCTTATCATGGGGTTTCAAAAACCCGATTTTATACAAAGAACACAGAAACATGATAAATGATATTTCGTGCCCCGTCCCATAATCAATCCGTGTTGAATTCCCAAAGGATTCCACCAAATATGAAACGATTTCAGGGATGGCAGCATTCAATTCAGTTGGAAGCACATCCTGCATCAAAATGAGCGTATCCTGAAAAGATCCACTTATCAGAACTGAAAATATTTAACGCGTGGCCCCCACATCTCGCATTCTTTGGTGCCAAGTCCTAAACGCCACATTTCCAAATCTCTGGGGTTGTTGGATTGGAGGCGTCTCATCAACTTTGGTATCAAGTTTATCTAACAACTCAATTACTTTCTGGACTTCCGTTGAGAGATTTTCGCTACCTCGCGAATTACTTTTGCCTTTAACTGCTTCATTTATGGCCAGAATAAACCCCAAAAATTCCTATGGAATGAAATTTGTTAGACTGGGGTTAAAGACGGAAAGATGAATTGTACAAAATAGGCCTCGGATTTCTCCCAGATTTTCATATCTGCCGGTGTTTTGACTAGTTTTGTGGGGACTTCGAAGACGTGATCTTGACCCACTGGAAAAAGCCGGTGAAATGGGGCAAAAAGGCGTGACAGGAGTACCTGTGGCGGCGACAGAGGCCACTGAACGGCCCCGGGGCCCGGTCGGCCCTATCACGGCGAAAGACTCGGACATCACCGTTCTGTTCATTTTTATTTGTTTATTATTAAATGCAAACACATAACCTTCCAATGTTAGAAATAATTTGACACTTTTGACTGGTGTGGTGCATACGACCGAAAATGTAGTCGCCCAAATAAGTAATTGATAAACGTCATAATGACAGTTTCAAGTTTAGAACATTTTCTAACCTAACAAATTAATATTTTACATTTATAAAAAGCAGGTATTTTTTACAAAACAAAGTAGTTTATCTGTAAATTATGGAAGAGCCAAAACCTGTTCAATTATCCAAGACAATCTTGGATATGAAATTTATGAAAAGGACAAAAGAGAGGGTGCTCAAAGAGCAGGAAGATGCCGAGGGCAAAGCCATGTATTTCAATGAGATCACCGACGAAATGAAGAAAAGCGGGAATATAGTTTTTACAGAAACTAGTATCTTCAACTGTAGAAATTTAATTGAAGGCCGGTTATCTTTTGGTGGCATGAATCCAGAAATAGAGAAACTAATGTCCAATGATTTTACAAGGAAAAAACAAGAAGTGGAGAAACGGAAAGAAACTGATATTACTGACGTCCAAATGGCTCAAGAATATTCCACTTTAGTTAACAYAATGGCAAATAAATTTAGTGGAAAGAAAAACAAAAATAAACGGAAATTTATAAAGCCATCTGAAGATTTTTAATTAGCCCAGTTGCAAATTATTAACCGTTTATTTCTATATTACGATTAAATTGTATAACGACTTTTTTAATAAATTTAATTCATTTATCTTATCTGTGCTAGTTTTGTATTTTTAGATTGCAAATCGTATGCAAATCACCCTATTAGCGGATGGTTTTAATCATAACATTCATAACTCATAATTCTGCGTAAATGTATATTCATAACAATGTTATCAGCCGATAAATTTGTGTATATTTTATCTGTTTACTTTGGGAATTTACTCGTTTTATCATTTAATTCAAAAATACAAGCAGGCACGAGTCATAATTTTCACTTATTTTCCCCCTCATTCAAAGTTCGCGCTTTGACGCTTGCGCAGTTCCTTCGTTCTTTCTTATCAAATCTGCGCTCGTGTTGAATTGGTGAGTTCAATAATCCATTTTTTTCATCAATAGTAAACAAATTTAAATATAAAGTCCACATTTTCTGAGTTCATAATTGAGATTTTTATGCCGCGAAATCGGTACATTAACATTGACTGACGTAGTTGGAAATATCGCTGGTGAGGTTATATAAGTTTCTAATTTTAATTTATTCAGATTGAGAAGGTTTTTGCGAGTCCACAAGAGAGTCAGTCAAGGTAATGAAGGTCGTGGCACGTTTTTGAAACCATATTTTTATTTTAACATAAGTGAGATTTTTGTTTTGTTGCAGGCGATTGGGGCTGTTTGAAATGCAATTATCACACGCGCGGTTTCTCGCCCTTCGTCTGACCATAGCACAGGTAAGAAGTTCTTAACTATTATCCACAAAACCACATTTTTTACTTCCTATTTTAAAAATTATTTTTATTCAAGTACACGAAAGCCGTAATAGTTGGCATGATTGACAGATACAACCCCATTTAAATATCGAATAATTGTAATTTAATTTTAGAAATATTTATTGGCAATGTGGGCTACCAGATTGCATTTATTCATTAATTAAAAATCGTAGCAATTGATTGAGAAATTGTTTTAATTTTGTGATTATGGCCTGAAACACGTCAATTCGTCACAGCCAACTCAAAATTTATTTTGGCGCAACATTTGAATTTTTTCGAGATTATTCATTGTGTAATCAACTAATCAATCTTTCTGTCTAATTACTAGTGATTACGCATTTTGTCTGGCTTTTTTACAATAATGAATGAACGCTCAAAGTTCAAAGTGAAGAATTTACAATTGTGATAACAATAATAAGAATTTTTCTTGTGTTATGACTTATGAGTAATTTGTTCCACAATTTTCTTATAAAACGTTAATGGACTTGACCTATCTCGTTTATTTTAAGCGGTTTAATTAAAACAGTTTGGACTTTGCCAACGATTGTATTACAATTGGTATTCTCTTAGTTCCTTAAATAATCATTGTACGTTCGAAATAAACAACTCTAAATTTAAAATTGTACTTTTTCCAGCAAAATACGTTGCAATGATATTATTGTTTCAGAATGTTCCGGTTGCTCGACGAGAGACTGATAAGTTAGTATTTCCGACAGCATTTCTCTTAGCTTCCCTCGGAGTCGGAGTTTCAACTTTCAGTTTGAAGCAACTATTGGCCAGACCTAAACGCCGTTAAGATGTATGAAACTGCCTGATTTTTTCCCTTTCTACGCTACAAATGATTGGACATAGTTTTCAGAGCATTTAAATCATGTGCAAATATCAGATGATACCTATTTACACCTTTAAACGATACTATTTTAAATTTATTTTCACCATAAACTTGCCAACAGGAGCAAGTTGAATGTTTTTTTATTTAATTTTTTTACATTCGTGTTGCCAACTTGTTGAGAAAAAATTTTTTAAAATTGAGATTCGTATAGGTGTGCATCTTCCATTATCTCAATTTTCAAATTTATTGTGCAATTATTTGCATGCATAGTTTGTAGTTATAATTAGGGCGAGTTTGTGAATATAATTGTAGTAAATGTGTAAATTTGTGATTTGTTACCCTTCAAGCGGATATTACTAGACGAATGTTGCTGATAAAAATGATTTATTAAATAGATTAAAACAGTTCAATTCGAAGTGAAATAATGACATTGGCCCAAAACCAAAATCACTATTCCCACTAACATGAAAAACAAACACAGATATCGGCCAGTTATTGGCACTGAAAATAGTTTAGCCCTCAACTTTAGACTCGCTGTATACAAAAGGATAGAATCGAGGTCGTGGCGAGGAGTGTCTTGGTGGACGAAAGGCCGCGTCCGAACTTCTTGACCGGCGTTGCGTAAAATGTCACATTCGTTCGATAATCGGGAAGCCTTGAAATAAAATCATTTTGGGAAATTTTTAACAGCGTTTTTATACCTGCATAAAGGGGGCCAAAGCGAGTAAAAGCCATAGAATCACATTGAGGGTGCTTATCCCCCCGATCGGAACCGTCTCCTTATCAACATTATCATAATCAAAAAACCACAAGATGCCTGAAATCGCACACGCTAGATTGATAAACGTGAAAACGCACACTGAAGGCGCCAGTTCGTTGTTGACGAAACGTAGCATTTTTTTAAACGTTTCGATGTGCTGAAACATTGACTTTAACAATTCACCAAAAATATTTGATCATTTTACTCTGATCCACTCCAGAGGTTGCACAAGTTGTTGCAGTAATTTCTCTTGAAGGCATTGCAAATATGTGGTCAAGAGTTGGGTTTGCAGGCAATAGTTTGAAATAATGGTGGCTTGAACGACATCGTGCCATAAAATACAAACCACTAATAGGATTTTGAGCCCCACTGTAACTCCCTCTGGCCTTGAAATTTGTATTAGGTGGCCGAATGTGATCATTTTACTTACATGTTTTCCAACCATTTGAAATTGATAGTACCATTGGCCATCATACACACAACTGTGATAAGTGATAAGCTCATCCATATACCAGTCAAGGTCACGAAGGTCCACAGAGTTCTCACGAGTTTTCTTTGATTGCTTTGGCTGTTGCTGGAGAGGAAAACTCGCTCCATTAAAACAGGCAATTGATCGTCATCGGAGTGTCGTATGACCAAAACGGCGTGAATATAGCCGATCAGATGTAAGACACTTGGGATAATAAATGAGAATAAAAGGGGTGCATGGCATATTTGTTCGTAGATTTGTTTAACATCCTCGATTTGGATCAAGTATGGATTGTTGACGAGCTTAAAACAGAAGCCTCTATCTCGGCGAAAGCATGCCATGTATTGCAACAAATACCCCAAGATTAGTAGAACAATCAGTTGGATTGTGTACACCGAATTGACGAACTGGAAGCAGAAACACGACTCGAGTTGGTAGGAGATGAGAGGTCTCAAGCCCACGAGGCTCAAAACGCGGAGATAAGGATTCAAAATTTTGCTTTTGCAGTAGTTGAGGACCGCAGTGACGCTCGATTGGCGGCTCTGCTCCGCGAAGGGGTACTCGCGGTGTTCCTGCAAGAATCCGTAGCGATTTGGGGTTTATTACCTCTGAGCGGTGTTACCAGACTCGTCGATAAACACGATTCTTCGGCCATTTTTTGCTCATTTTCCCTCACCTCCAAATCTGTAAACACAACGGTAACATTTGTGTGGGCCATTTTGAGGAACTTATCAGCGAGTGGCAAAAAAATACAAAAACTATACGTACACGCAAAACATATTGGACGAAAAAATGCACCACTAGACTGGTGTTTACGTTAAATAATCGGTTGGAAAATAAGTGAGAATTAATCGCTTTGCCCGTGCGCGGCTTGCGATAACCTTTTTCGGTTAATAACATCTTGGTAACAGAAAATATTTTTATTCAAAGAAACATTACATTTTTTTGCGGGAAAATGGGTTTTTGCGGTTTGGTATGAGCCCTCGGACGGGTCTGATCAGTCGTTTACGCTCCTGCATGTGTTTTTTATTTTTCAAATCGGAAAATTTGCGTTTCTTGTGGGTTGAAAATGTCATTTCGCGACTTCCGACAGAACCCAAAAGGCGGACTGATGAGGTTTCACTCTGGACTCGTTCCTCGAGTGGGGTCCTACGAAATCAGAATTACAAATATGGATCATATCAACTGGGACCAGACATTACCTATTAATTTTCTTCTTGAGACTGTGAATCCCCTTATATTCCTCTCCTTGTCTCAATTCAAACATCTTGGGTTGTGTCTTCATCTCTTCCTCTTCTTGTCGTTCTTTCAATCTGTGCTCTCTATTAATAATTTTGTGTTGTAGTTTTATTTCTTTCGTCAGAGTTTCATCTTCTGAACTTTCTTCTTCCTCATAATCATCAGACGATTCCTCTGAACTGTTTTTCCCTTCAAGTTCTTCATCGATGGGTTCAAAGTCTTCACTCTGTATCTTTTTCAACATTTCTTTCTTTTTTGATTTGTCTAACCGCGACAAAACCGGATTTAATAGACGAAACTCGTCAGCGTTTTTGTCCACCTCAAAGTCGGGATTTTCAAAAAGTGCCTTAAATCTAGTATCTTCAAGAAGATTAGCGTTTTCTTTTTTCTTTTTATCTTTCACTTGATCGTTCATTAATTTAAGAGCGAGATCTTTGTTCACTTTCGGTAATTTATTTACTTGGACTCGATTTACCCTTTCTTTTTCTATAGTCTCCCTAATTTTCTTTTTGCGATATTCTTCAAATTCGAAAGGATTTGCGACCGATTTTGCCTTTTTATACAATCTCACATCCATGAAATATCTAATAAAAAACAAGATAATCATCGTATAATGAAAATAAATCGAAAAATTACCCGTGCATGTAAGCCCTTAATAAATTCGTTCCAATTAAGTGATCCAAGCCGAGATTTTCTAATTCCTGTTTCGTAACAAATTTATAATCGTCGTAAATGTTTTCAGAGTTTGATTCTTCCAGTTCTTCAGTAAGTGAGTCAAGAAAACTGGCCCAACGTGGGGCTGGACCTAAACTAGGAATATAATAGGTCTGAATTTTTGTGTTTTCGTTAGCAATGAAGAAAAGGCCTGTTTTCGGGACCACACATAAATTATTAAACTCGGTTGATGCCTCTATTGACGTAAACAATTTCCCCTACAAAGAAAATAATCAGAAAAAAACTTAATTGATTAGACTAACATTATTTTTATCCCAGATTTTCAAAACTGAACTATCCATTGAAAAAATCAAGTCTTGCTGATGGTGAAACTCCACATCTTTTATAGGTAATCCATACATGTGGTCTTTAATATAGAAAGGTTTATTTGATCTAATATCATAAAGTAATATTTGTCCCGTGGCTGTCCCCACGCCCAAAGTTAAGGCCCCATCAAATGAGAGTGCACTAATAGATGGAAAACCTTCCAATCTGAAATTATTATATTATTAATGGTTTCGAAAACCACCAAACCTACTCTTTATTTTCAGTGACGCAACTAAAAGCACAATCAAGTGTCCCTATAAGACTCTTGCTTCTGGGGTCCCACGCTTCCACTCGACCTTCTTGGGTCCCACAGGCTAGTAAATTGTGAACGGGGTTGATTGCACACCTATTTATGGCAGAAGCTGTGCTTGTGTAAGGCGTCATGAATTGGCCCCTTTCTAAATTCAGTCTGTAAATGTCTGAACTGGCCCCCACTACAAATAGGTCGCAACTGGGATAGTGGTATCGCATGTCTCGGCCAAATTTGGGAATCCTGAGGCGGTAATAGCGGCCATGGGCGGCGTGGAATTCAACATATCTGTCACATTGCAAGAAGACCAACTAGAATTTTTAACATAAGTGATTGAGTCATAATGCAATAAAACGGCTACTTTGCTGTAGTCGTCGCTTAAAATTTCAAACGTTACAGCCTCCGAATCGAAGCAACGCTCGAATTTAAGCGAGAGGTTATTGACATCAAAACATTTAATTCGGGGCTTGTAAATGCCGGTAGCCAGGATGTATTGCCCGTCTTTAGAGACTTTCACAGTCGTGCTAAGGCCGGGCATGTCGAAATCTTGGATAAGTTCGATTCTTCGCCGAATATCCACATCTTTCTTGAGCAACGCACGGCGTTTGCGTTCCGAGAGCCACTACAAAAAATGCACGTAGAATTTGACTTTAGAGTTGTAAATATTACCTCTGGGAGCGATTTTCCGGCACTTAAATTGTATATTTTCACGTTATTCGGGTCGGAGACTTGCATTTTGCGTCTGACATGTGTTTGTTTGAGGTTATGTCAATTGTCATGTGTCAAAACTGTGCTAGTACGCGTGCGCAGTTGTGACATTTGACAAGTCATCGCCATTTTTCAAATCAGTTTGTATTTGTCCCAAAAGGAGTGTGTTGGTCTTTTGAGCAAAAATGCCGAGTCAAGAAGTAACCACGACTAAAGTGGTGGTTCACCCTTTGGTTCTGTTAAGTGTGGTTGACCACTTCAACCGAATGGGGAAGATCGGGAACCAGAAACGGGTCGTGGGGGTACTTTTGGGGTGCTGGCGGGCCAAAGGGGTCCTCGACGTTTCTAACAGTTTCGCAGGTTAGAATGACTCAATTTAATTTTTTTTATTTATTATTCATTTTTGTTATTGCAGTCCCGTTTGATGAGGACGATAAGGACAAGTCGGTGTGGTTTTTGGACCACGATTACCTCGAAAATATGTATGGAATGTTCAAAAAAGTCAATGCCCGAGAACGGGTCGTGGGATGGTACCACACGGGCCCCAAACTTCACCAAAATGATATTGCAATTAACGAATTAATCAGGCGTTATTGCCCCAATTCAGTCTTGGTTATTATTGATGCCAAACCTAAGGATTTGGGGCTGCCGACTGAGGCGTACCAAGCTGTGGAGGAAGTCCACGATGATGGGTCCCCCACCAGTAAGACATTTGAGCATGTTCCGAGTGAAATAGGGGCGGAAGAGGCTGAAGAAGTGGGTGTTGAGCACCTTTTGAGAGATATTAAAGATACGACAGTGGGGACGCTTTCACAGAGGATCACGAATCAGTTGTTAGGCTTGAAAGGGTTACATCTGCAATTGAGGGACATTCGGAATTATTTGATGCAAGTCAGTGAAGAGAAATTGCCGATCAATCACCAAATTATTTATCAATTGCAAGATATATTTAACTTGTTGCCAGATATTAGTCAAGACACGTTTAACAAGGCGTTTTATGTCAAAAATAATGATCAGATGTTGGTTGTCTATTTAGCGGCAATGGTACGATCCATTATTGCTTTACATAATCTTATTAATAATAAGCTTACAAATAAAGACGCGGAAGAAGGAAAAAAAGAAGAGAACAAAAAAGACAGTAAGGATAGTAAAGACAAGGATAAGGAGAAAGAGAAGGACGCGAAGAAGGATGAAAAGAAAAAATAATGAACGTGTGTCTCCAGATTAATTTTATTTAACACGATTTATAACTAAAGTTTAGCTCAGTTTGTATTAATAATAAATTTTCTAAAAATATTTACAAAGTATTTTTATTTACAACATGTGAAACCTCTGATTTGCCAAAATCAAAGTCAAAACAATTTTCCAAAACCCAAATTTAAGACAGCGGCCTTTACTAGTAAGAACCGACTGACTGACCCCCACAAACGGCTCCAAATTAGTTTTGTTATAATTTGCAAAATACCAACTCGTGTCAGTGGTACTTTGAGTAACATCAGCAATTTTCTCAATGGTCTCATCTAAAGGTTGCACAATTTCGGCAAAACTCGGATTTGACAATAAAGGCGCACTTCCGGAGACGTGCGGTGAGGGTACTTTTGTAATAGTGGGTCTTCCTGCCGGCCTAAACTCTGGTTGTTGTCCACCCGGAGCCAAAAGTGCCGACAGTGGCGTTGCGACTGATTTCTTCACTTCATCTTTGGCAGTTGAAAGAATTTCGATCAACTCAGTCGTCAGTTCGGTTGTTGTGTCTAAAACTTCCTCTATTTTGACCTCCGGAGTCGTACTCGCAATTTTTTCTACAACTTCTTCATGCACTGGGGGAGTCTCAAGCGTCGTAGACGACACGACTGAAGTATTCGTCGTAATTTTCTCAATTTTGGTCAAAGTGTGAGTCTTTTGCTCTGTCACAATTGACACATTGTGCATCACAGGAGAGGTCGTCGTGGGGGGTGGCAGCGTCGTCGTGGGGGGCGGCAGCGTCGTCGTGGGGGGCGGCAGCGCCGTCGTGAAATTATCAATTTTTGAATTGACGGGGGCTTCAATTGGAAAAGCTGTACTAAAACTTACATTCGTAGATTGCGACTGTTGTAAATTGGGGTTGGGAATTGGTTTGAAACCCCCTTCTCCCGGTAATAGGGGGACGAATCCACCAGTTTGAATTTCTGGTAAATTCGGCAATCCCAAACCTCCACGGGCCCCGCTTCGGGGAGGTTTGTTCACAATTGCCATTTTCCGCTCCATTGTCATTTTATTATCATCCATTCGGCCTGTGCCCCCTCCTATTAAGTTTTTCAAATTGAGAGCCGGAAGTGGAACTCCGAAAAATGTAAAACCGGAAGTACTAGGCGAATTTGTGACTTCTTTTGGGATATCCGGGCGAGATTTATTTTTAGGGGCCGCGTAAAGAGTTGGAGTATCACCTGAGATGTAATGGGGCGACTGTGTCACATTTTCAACCACCAAATTTTGCTGGGTTTCGTTGTAAGGATAATCAATATATTCATCGTAAAAATATTCGGATTCTTCAGGGGATGGTACTAAGTGGTTTTTCTGCTCTTTTGAGATGTTTGATTTGAGATTCATCCAAGGGGAGAAGACTTGAGAAGTCCCGAAAGTGTTAGGCGCTGTTAGCAGTTCAGATTCGCATCCAGGGGCCACTAACTCGGCATTTCGGTCTTCGGGGAGGCACTCCTGACGCGATAAACGGAGCTCCCGAAGGAGGGATCCATCGATACATCGGGGACCCATCGAAGAACCCTCTTGTAACCAAGCCTGGAGCCAAAGTAGGTTGCAGCCGCACGATAAGGGATTTCCTTAAAGAATACACTTTTTGTAATCTATTATAAATAACAGGAATTGAAAAAAAACTAAACCATATACCAAGCTTTCATTTTTAAAATTACCGCCATAAAACGGTGTTTACGGCACTGAGTAAACGCTCATCAGTGCAGCCAATCGTGTGGTGTTATAAAAAGGTAGGAAAAATTATACTGAGTTTGACTAAAAGCTATTAAAAAGCTGATTTTATCCTAAAGAGCCCTTGTAGAGTGTGAAGTGCTTAAAAATCATTGGTTTTTAATGTCTACAATTGGGTCAAAACTATTATTTTTTAAAGAGTGAGGTTATGTTTGTTCTCGTAATAGCATTTTTTAAAAAAAAAAATTCAAATAAAAATGTATCTAATTACTTAAGGTATGTTTAATGTGAAATGTTAATTTTGCTCATTACAGCATTTTCCTTGCATACGTATATTTATGATTTTTAACAAAATTTTCAATTTTTTACATGATATTGTAACAATTAATGTAATAATTGCTCTCTTACCATCCAAATCGAGTACAGCAATATTGCTTCTTAGCTTCTGCACCGCATTTTCCGGCAGCGACATCATTTTATTGTTTCTCAGATTGAGAACTCTAAGCCTCGGCATCCCATCAAAAGGCGCCCCATGGACGGCGCAAATATTGTTATCATTCATTCTCAATTCCACCAACCACTCCATTTTCTCTAAATTCGAGTTCGTAATCCTCGAAATTTGATTATTACTCACATCCAGCATCTCCAAAGACTTGAGACTTCTCAAACCAGCATCGTCCAGTGCAACCAAATGATTGTGACTTAAATTCAACAAAACCAAATGGGGAACGAGATGAAACGCTTTGTTGTCAATAATTCTGATCTGATTTTCCTGCAATTCTGCCACTTGAAGCCCTGGCAGATTATTAAAAGCCCAATTCGGTATTTCTCTTAATTTATTTTTGCTGATTTTGAGGGTTTTTAAAAGGGGTAACGCTCGTATTGAGTTGGGTTCGATAATCTCAATTTCGTTCCTCTCCAAACTAAGGAACCTCAAATGTTGCAAATTGTCAAAAACCCCCATTTTCAATTCCTGGATGAAATTATTGGCGAGTCTTAATTCACTTAACGATGTGAGACTTCTCAAAATTTCTGGATTGAGGAACTTGAGTCGATTACCGGTCAAATCCAACACTTGCAAACTCCTCATTCCGTATAAATTCGGTGGCAAATGAATCAAGAAATTGTTAGATGCGTCAATTACTTTCAATTCTATGGTCCTATTGAGGACTCCAGGAGGAATTTCGGATAATTTGTTCCGACTGATGTCCAATTTTTTCAACAAGTGAGTGTCTTTGAATATTTCCGGGGGCAGGAAATCGAGTCGGTTGTTCCTCAGATTTAGTTCTTTCAAATCCTCCATTTGGCTGAGGGAGTTGCGATGAATTTGGATTAGATTGTTAGTGTCCAGATCCAGGATTTCGAGACGGGATAAGCCAGACAAGGAATTTGCGTCGAGGTTTTGCAACGCGTTTCTTCCTATGAAGAGGCGTCTCAATTGGGGAAGTGATTTGAGGGAATTTGGGGGGATTTGAGGAATTCTATTGTTGGAAATATCGAGCATGCGGAGGGAGGGTAAATCCAAATCCGGAGATGGCGGGATTGGGATTTGAGTAATCTCATTGTACGACATGTGTATATACTCCAACCCTCTTGGGAGGTTTGGGACAAACTCGACCAAATAATTGTGACTCACATCAAGTTCGTATAAATTTAGTAAAGGTCGAAAAGTCGCCGGATGTAGTGTTGCAAGGGCATTATGTGACAAGTTTATATGTTCAAGAGCTTGTGTTGGCATAAATGACGAAGGGTCGACAAAACTTAACTCATTCTGACTCAAATCAATCCTTCTCAGGGACGGCAAATTCATCAAGAGTTGAGGTTCTAATCTCCGGTAGAAATTCCCGGATAAATCCAGGCCTTTCAAAGCCGGCAAATTCCATAACGGTCCCGGGAGGACATCCGAGAGTGAATTATTCTTCAACCGGAGTTCCCTCAAAGCTGGCATTGCCATAAAAGCCTCCGGATCAATCAAACTAATTTTGTTATAATCCAAGTGAAGTCGTTCCAAAGTGGGGTGCCCTCGAAGGGCCCCAAAAGGTATGGCTTCCAAGTTGTTGTAACTCATATCGAGAAATGTCAACCTCGGGAGGGCATCCAAGAGTGACCTTAACTCAACCACGTGACTTATCTCATTATCCACCAACCACAACTCCTCCAAACCACTCCCTGAATGTTGCAGGAAACTCTCCGGATGAACCCTCCTGACCATGTTTTTGTTGAGGTCCAAACTCCTCAATTGAGGGACTCGATGGAAGGCACCATATTGCAACTCACTGATGTGGTTATTTGACAAGTAGAGTTTTTTGAGGGAGGTAAAGTCGACGAAAGCTGCTTCGGAAATTTTATCAATGTAGTTATGATCGAGCCGAAGGATCTCCAAGTGGGGCAAATCCCGAGTCCCTCGCCCCACCATCGCAACATCCACAATTTTATTTCCCACGAGTGATAGTTCTTTGAGGGTTGGTAACCTGTTAATAGCTCTAGGATGCATCCAGTTGAGTCCACAATAGGAGATATTGAGGAGGATTAATTTTGGCAAGTCTTGAAAGATATTAGCTTCGAGTCGAGTCAGTCTGGGGCTATTTGTGATGTGGATTGCCTCTACAACTGGTAAATCCTTAAAGTGTCTCGAGGATAATTCCAGGAGAGACAAGGATTCGAGTTGGAGGTATCTCAATTTAGGCAAACCGGAGAAAACCGGAAATCGTTTCATTAAATTTGTCTGGATTGTGACCGCCTCTAAACGGGTCAACTGTCTTAAGGTGTCGTCTGGAAGGCTTCGTAAATGCGGTTCGACTAGGAAAAGCTCCATGAGGACGTTTTCCAGACCTGCCAGCCAGTCACTGGAAACTCTCTCCAGGCCGTTGTGGCGCATCATCAGTCTCATTATTTTTAAAGGGACGAAAGTGCGTCCAGAAAGCGACGGTAGATAATTATTTTCGAGGATAAGTTCATCGATAGGGTCTTGCATGACTTGGCCGATGGCCTTGAGACCTTCAAGGACACTCGGGAGGTCACTGTGTGAACACCTGGAGCAAAAAGTTAAAAACAATCGATAAATTTAGCCCACTTACCAGATCTGCGTCTCATCTCCTTTGTCTTTGCATCTACACGGCAGGATGAGCTCCTGAGGGGGGCACTTTTCCGCCGAAACAATCGTCAGGAAAAGTAGAAACCACCGTGGAAAATTCATTTCGTCACATTTTTCCCTCCTAAAAATGAAATTTTGTAACAAGGGAAGTACCGATTTGATCGCTCTCGATTCTGTTCTAGTGGAACATACAGGACCGGATTTTTATTTTTCGGGGGCCTGTAAATTATCTGGTTCCAAAGCCGGGCTTTTTAATGTGTCCATGAACAGTTTCTTTTGGAAATCATTGAATTATTTAACACCAAGTACAACTTTATTTAACGACTCGACAATGTATTAAAATGTACTAAAAAATAATAAAAAATTCCCATTGCATTTAAAAAATGGAGAAAAATGGTTGATGATATGAAAGAAAATCTAATGTTTGAAATTTCTACATTATTCACTAAGTTTTAGTACCTAACTAAATAAGGAATTCTAAAAAAAACATTTATTGTTTTTTATTAGTCTAGAGACGATTTATTAATTTCTTAAAAATTACACTTCAATGTTAAGATTAAAATAATAATTTCCGATTAAAACAGATGGATGTCTTCATCAATTTTAAATGGCATTTTAATAAATTTCGGTAAATCTTCGAAAACTTATTGAAATAAGTATGATTTCTTGAGTTTTTGTGGAAAATTAAAAAAAGCAATTTTGTAGAAAAATAGAGTGTGAGGGTTGTCTTGCCCAATTTCGCATTGTTTCGAAGCGTTTAGTTCCAGCATACAGATCAATCAAAGCATTTGCGAAACCCTCGATTGTCTAAAGCTATCACAAGAGATTTTCTTGTCCTTGTAACCTTGTCGCATATGACGTGCCTGTCTCAATTACGCGAACGGTACCTAAATACGGTGTTTACGGGTTATGATTTGTGCGACACGAGCCTTTTTGCATGTTTAGATTCGGAAAAATTATATCTTATTTTCTGAAAAACCCAGGTACATAATGTTTCCGGTCAAGACAAGTCAGGCTTGAAATTTAGGTTTATCACAAATGCATTGTTTTGGTTTTGCAAGGACGTGTTAGATCATTTTGACTTTCGCGAAGAGTTTTATCCTTGGAAGAGAGAAAAAAATTGAGATCTATATGTGAACGCTCGGAGAATAATAGGGAAAGTGCTCGAGCGGAATCATCAAGTGTGAACAATAATTAAAATTTGAAATTTTGTTAAGTGCATTGTTTATTTGAACAATCGAGAGTCACGAGTGACGAATTTAAAGACCAGTGTCGATTTTCCAAAATTTTAGAAACAATTTAACATCAGATACACAGAAAAATAATTTCAGTACTTAAATTAATTCTGGACAAACTAAATCATACTTGACTTTATTTTTTACATAACAATGAAATTTAGAAATGAACTAAACTAAATAAAAATAAGAAATTGCAAACACCGTAATTTGAATGAATTATTTTTGTGACTATTATTTTTATTGTGCAAAAATTAAAATCTTACTTTAAAGCTCGTAACCACTATAATCTTTTCCAAAAGCCACAAACTCTTCTTTTCAGTCACAGCAACTAGAAACAAACTGAGCATTTCTACATGAGACTGGAATTTTGAGTGGCGGCTTTACACTCCGATAATCACCTATAGTAGAGAAGTAGAAATGTGTAGAACAATCTTTTCCGCACATATAAGTACAACAGAAGCATTATTAACTTTATTTAGTATTACAACATTCAAAAGAAACAATGATGGGTTAAGATCACAAAAATAAATTAACTAAGAGAAAATATGATTGTGTTTTGTAATTATTTTTTATTGTTTAACATCACATGTCCAGTGGGGTTAATCTTTTAGCGTAAATAATTTTCCTATTGACAAACTTTAAAAATTTGATATGTTTTCTTAAATTTGAAAGAAAGTTTCGTTTAGTGCTCAACTCAGTTTATTTCCGCATTTTTTGTCTGAGGTGTAATGAATTTTTACATCAAAACTGAAATATATTTAGTAAAAAAAGCCTTGGAGAGGAGAATAGGGTTTTTGAAAATGATTTATAAAATGGTACTTTTTATTAAGTTTAAGTGTTTCTCAGTATATTAATTTGAAATATTTGTTTTTCGGGAATAAATTATAGAAAAATTATGTTTTATTTAATTTATCTTTTCATCAAATAAACTGGATTTTTATGGCTATTTTTGTTGGTTGGATGATTTTATTTTTTAAAGAAAGAAATCGCGGAATGTTATGCAACCAATAAAACACAGCGTTCCACCGGACGGTCATTTACTGGCSCATAAATCAATGCCCATAAAATGCAGTTCCAAGGTAATTATGTAGACTTGTTGACCAAAATTCGGCTATTTTGATATTTTTAAACTTCTTAAAGAATGTTTTAAATATCAAAGATCTAGATAAAATTATCCCAAACGGCAAACGCAAATAAAAATAAAAWTTTTTTAAATATAGTCGGCGACTTCGTTGTTAGAGGAAAATATAACATGGTAAATAAGAATAAGTTTTGTACAAAAACGCAACTCCAAAATCATTTTTTTTTTGTAAAAAACAGCTGGTCATAAAAATTTAATAATTGTTGCTGAAGCGAGCAGATATTAATGTTATTGATGAAAACTGTACCGCTTTATTAATATTTTAAATTTCTAGAATAAAGTTACAAGATGTCGAAGTTAAGTGGAATTAACTATAACTTAAATTTTATTAAATTAAAAAAATGTGGTGTGTAATGTTCAAAAAATTAATGATTTTTGTCAAAAACGAGTTTTCAGTTGGTATTTTACTAAAGGATAGTAATAAATGAATGATAAAAATGATAAAATCAGAGTAGTATAGGGACTAATAAGAACAAAAACACACGATGGTACTTTACCAAACCATTTATTCAATGTCCTCTTTTAAGTAATAAACCCACGAAATATCTGGATCATTACAGTAAATTGTCAATTTTCCCGTTATGGGATACTTGGGCGTTTCTTGTGTCCTTTGTGTTATCAAATTAACGGCAACTTTCAGTGTCTTTTTAGACTCAATAATTTCACTTTTTAGTTTAACTCTAAAATCGCTTGGTTCGGCTCGAAAATGAAACATTTTCTCTTCTGAAAATGGATTTTTGAAAATGATTGAAACCGGATTTGTGTAAGCTAAAAGGTAGGGTCCTTGAGGTTTCGGTGCGCAACTTTCACCAATTAGAGGATAACTAAAACAATATATTGAACAAAAACAAACATAGTTGGTTTTTAAAGCACATAAAGTCCCCCAATTCGTTTGATTTTAAAAGCAATTGGCTTTGGAACTTTCCGATTTGATTTGGTTCGAAATTAATTGCAAGTTTTCTGTCTTCTGTAACTTTATCCAATGAAAAAACAGGGTTATCAAACTGGAAACAATCATTAAATTGCAATTTAGCTTGAGAAAATGCTGTACTTGGAAATGACATCCTTTCGTCGCAACTACTTCTATCTTTTGTGTTATTTTTTGTCCCAAACAAGTCTTAAAAATGGTGGCAGATTCGGGCACTGGGGCATGAACTGTCAAAATTAAATTATATGAATAAGTTCCTAATTCTTTGCTAGTGGCTTCGAAAGTTGTTTGTGTTTGTTCTTCTCGTAGAGGTTTGTAGGTGAGTTCCAGATAATACTGAAAATTTATTTTAAACCTTGAAGAGTTTTACAAAGAGTCGATACCACAGAATGAGGCTCCAAAGTGACACTTTTCTCGAAAAGAATGTTGTCTTTGGGACACRTCATGCGATACAMMACAGGAACATTAACCGGATTTTCCAATTTTATTAACTTACTGACCGGAATTCGGGCACAAGTCGACAACTCGATCGAATCTAAGTGTTTRTTGGGGAGAACTTTTAGAAAAATTTCGTAAAAGAGATACTCCTTAGTGGCTTTGTTTGTGAAAGTGACTTTCAAATTTAATTCTCCTTCATTTATTGGAGTGATACTCCAATCGTACATTCGTGTACTGTTTGGAGGAACGTCTATTAGGGCGTTTCCTCCAATCGAAAACAAATTTTTGGGAGTGATACGACCAATCAATGCCGTCGTAATATGGTACTGTTGTTTCACTAATAACCAATTATTGACAGGTAGCTGTTCAACATGTGGCACTTTACAAAGGATTTCACGCCTTATTTGTCCAGCAGGAAGCGGAGGATTTGTGTTTCCCTTTAGATTGTAAGTCACAATTAAGCCATCGGGCATAGGGAGCGAAAGTAGGGCCTGAAATTTGCTTCCAATATTTTTGAAAAATTTTCAGTTTTAAAAATACGTTGTGATCCTGCAATCTCATTGGAGAGTACACAATTTCACATTTATCGTCACTTTTGGCCGGMATCCGGATTATTTCGGCWGTTTTGAARCAATCATCACCGGAWATGTTGGGCTGAATTTCCCACACTTGATTTGTCCTGTAATTAAAAATTRWTRTTTGCTCGAAATAAAATAAAAATTGTACGGATTTGAAATTGCGAAACTTTTAATTTCCGACTGGCGAACYGGGCAAACAAACTGAATCGTCGCTTTTGGRGGYGGCAGATTGATACAAGACCCGGAAACGGCCAACTCTAATTGTTTATCGATGCTTGAAATGTGACAAATTAGCTGAAATTTGTTGGTAATTGTTGGGAAATAACGAAGAGAAAAAATACTTTCGATTTGATCCAACATTTGACAGTTTTCGGTTTGAAAAAAACACTGAAAATCAGGTGTGTGCCGGCCAAAATGTAGCCTTTTGTCGGAGTAATTGAGAAATTTTCTTCTCTTTTATCCAGCACCCAGTTGAATCTAAAAAATAATCAAGCAAGTCGCAGATTTGGTTTTGATCATCGTTTTGGCAGTTTTTCTTGAATTCCTCTATCGCCCAAAGAAATAATGTTCATTTTATTTTATTAAGCATTATTTCTTGTCTGTTTAGATAATAAAATTTGGAAAAAAATATTTTTGAATTAATTTTGTTTTGTGATTTTTAATTTTTGAAACGTTGTGTTTTTTTGCCTATATTTTTTGAATTACGAGTATACATAGTTGTATTTTGAACGTTATTACAACCAACAAGAGCTTTTATGTAAAAAGCTTTGCCTAGATTGCAATTTTTTTTTTAAATAATAATTAGGTTTGTGTGTTAATCGGTTATTTGACAAATCTACCAAAACGATGTGCGATTAAGAAATTGTACTTTAAGTTTACATCTCCCGTATTTTTCAAAACGACGTTCATCATTCGTTCAAAATTAACAACAACGTTGCCAAAGGTCAAATGTTGCCTATCTAATGAAATTTCCGGGGCTACGGCATCCCCTTTAACCATACAAAAGGCATCGATGTAATTCTGAGTGCGATAATAAATCTACGAAATATTATTTTGAAAACAATTTTCAAAAGTTAGGCAGTGTACTTTTTCAACAAAAGGTTCAACACGTTCTTTTGGACTAAACGTAATTGTGAATTCGGTTGTTTTTTGGGGACCCAACTTGATGTATTTTTGAGGATTTACGGTCATGTAATCGATGCCGTGTTTTTCGATTTTTTCAGGTAATCTAAAAAGTGAATTTAGACATAAAAATTGGTGGAAAAACAGTTACGTTTCCTCGGGGAGAATATTCTTGGTCTTTTTTGATTTCTTACTGCCTTTACTACTTTTGCTACTTTTACTCTTTTTTGTTTTTTTCGATTTTTTACTTTTTTTGCTAGCTTTTGTTTTTACGCTTTCCTTTTTGCTCTTCGAACTTTTTGTAGATTTACTCCCTTTCTTTTTCTTACTACCTTTACTTCCTTTTTTGCTTCCCTTTTTGCTCCCTTTTTTATTTCCTTTTYTATGTTCCTTCTTCTCTTCTTCGGGTATTTCTAGACTTTCATCGGGTGTTTCTTTTGTCGCTTTTTTGGGAAGTCGGTCCCAAAAATTAAATAAAATATTTACAGGACATTCACTCTCGTTTAGAACTCGAACAGTTTTTGTACAAGTTTTTCCAACAAGAACCGAACCAAAATCAACAAACTTATCAATTTGATTGACAAAAGCCAATTTAAGAGGCACTGCTTTGCCCATAATGGTCACATGAGTTTTTTTCCCATTCACGTAGAAGGGCAATTCAATATTGTGATCCCCCAATATGAGGGGATGGAAATAGATTGTGACAAGATTTTCCTCCCTAGAACCAACTTCTCCAGATTCAAAATTTGTAGATAAATGAACCGAATGTTTGCCTTTCTCAGAACTGAAATCCACATTTTACAAAAATATTTAATCAACTGAAAATTGTTACGTCATGGGCCAAATATTAAGATTCGAAAATTTGAGAACAGTCTTGTAATATTTTGTTGCCGATTTCTGCAGTAAGCAGGGACCAAAGTCATATTCAGTAAATGATAATTTAAACGGGGGCTTTCCGGCACTTCCGTTTAATTGGAGACAGTACGAAGGGCCATAAGCGATCTATTATTTATKATTTGTGTGCTCCATTTTTKAAACACTTACCCTCAAAACTATTTTATGTGGTTTTATGCTACATTGTATCAAAGGAATGATTGTCATTTCAGTCTTCAGTGTTTCACCAGACGGTAAAATTTCACCATTTGTTTCAAGAATTATGTCGAACAGACCAGAAATTTTCTGKGTGTGTAGCGACCARTACCATTCAAAAGCCGTTTTGCCGATGTTTATTATAGTGAATGGAAYTTTGTACTTTTGGTGAGGAATCATCTAAATTTTTTATGAGACTTTCASTGATTRAAAATCAAGTTTCTTACTGCTCCCATGTTTATGACATTTATTTTCTCCGAACTGAGATGCATTTCTTTGCCGTTTTGGTCCACGTAAGAGATTGAAGCTTCGACTTTGTAAACCTGACACGAAATACTCACCTCGAGCGGATTTCTAATTCTTTCCACGAAAATCTTAAAGTCGAAATTGACCAAACCTTGCTTTTTGGGCTTTAAGGAAAACCTAAGACAACTTTTCTTAAAATCGATTTAGCTTACACAAAGTCACCTTATCGGGAGTTGTTCCTGGTGGCACAAAACCCCATTTAGGGGCTCTACAAGAAGACCTTCCGTCAGCATCGAAAATTTCCCAAACTTGAACCAATATTTCTCGTTCTCTTCATTTTTCAATAACAGACTTTTGTGTACGTCGACTCCAACCAAAGTCGGGGGTAAAACTAAATGATTTTGGTCGAAATAAACTCTAGGTTCTCTTGCAAATCCTACGAGGAGGAAAGTGACCTGAATGTTGTGAAGCGGAATTGCGAAAAAATAAAATTCCTCAAAAGTTCCACACTCCTGGGGGATGAAACTGAAAACCATTTCCACTGTTTTGCCTCTGGAGACGACTCCGTTTTGGGTGTGACAGTGGAAGCAAGATAAGTGAGGGTTAATGGCGTGGCCGGGAGTCCACGTGTAGAAGAAAGCTTCTTTTGTTGGGTTTTTCAACAAGAATTTTCTACAAAATTTTAGTCAGAAATTTTTCACACTTGTCTAATTGACGCGTGCTTTGTACAAATAATTCCCAAACCGACCGACTCAAATTCCAAAACTTTGGTATTTTCATCGAGGAGATCATTGCACATTTTCTTCCCCCTGCGTTTCTCTTCAATATAATTGCTTTCTTCCATTTCAAAGCAATAGACAGGGAGGATACTCCGAGCTTTGACCTCGATTTCAATTTCTTTAGCTTTTGGTTCTTTATTTTCTATGCAGCTTTTCAACTGGATGACATAATCGAAAACATCAAGGGGGGCAAAAGTGACTGTAAATGTGTGCTTCGAGTCTGGTTTAATTGTAGCTTTTTCCGGGGTTACAGTGAAGGGTAAAGAATAAAATTCGTTCCAAGAGTCGCCACTCCGATTTGATTTCAAGCTTTCACAACTGAATAAAGTCGAAGCTGAGGAAGCTCGACCTTTTTCTTCGTGTATAAAATGCTCTAAATTTGTAACCGTAAAAAATAAATCAAAGAAATTAAGACTAAACCTTTGCCGGATAAAGGTGTCGGTTTTCGACTTGCTATTGCTGGCAAAAAATTAACTTCAGAATCGTTGAAACTTCCGGAGTTAATTCGTCGAGGAACATCATGCATGGACACGTCCCAAGCTACCTTAAAGGCTACTTTACCGATATTTTCAACCCCAAAATCGACCGAATTTTTCTAAAACTTTCGATAAAATATTTGTTTCAAGAATTTTTTAACATACATTCAAAAGGAATGTATCCGAAATTTCAATTTCAGTAGCGTTGCATAAAAAGTCGGCAAAATCTGCTACCACACTGACGAAAAGTGCGATATTTTGGAACGAGTTTGGCATAACCCGAATTTCCGGTTCCGGATTTTCTTCGATTTTCTTTGCACTGATTGCATTATCGTCATTTGTAGCCAAAACAGAACCTTCTTTGCTTTCAATACTCGCCGATAATTCACTTTTGTTGTCGAAAATGTGATCGCTTTGGACCGTTTCGGGACACCAGACTACCAAATTCTGGCGGTCGTCCCAAGACAAAAGGGCCGTTTGAGGTTCCAAATACTCGATTTTGTAAACTCTGCATTCGATCCTTGACTGGGGACAAAAATGAGTTTTTCTAAATTAGTTTCCACTTTTACCTCGTTAAGTTCGACGGGATTTTTCGAGAGAAATACAGCTAGAATTTGTTTGTTAGTTTTGGGCCTTATGTGACCCACAGCTGGTGAAAAAATCACTTCGCTGAAAGCCGGAAATTCGAACTTGTAAGTGCAAGTATCGGAATTGTTTCGAATTAGGAAACATTTCTTTTCTATAGTGTTTAGGGGCACATAACCGAATTCTAGTGAGTAGCCCAGAGCTGGAACCGTTTCCAAGGACACAATCGAGGAGCTCCTGGAGTAACTCCTGAGTCCATCCAGAGTCACATCTTTGTAGTACCCATCGCAAAAAACGTGAATCTGGAATTAAAATTAAAATCGGCAAAAAATTCGAGTTTTGTTTACAGTTTTTGTCTCGAACGGATTATTGACTGTGTGAATCTTAACTTCCAATTTCCAAGTTCCTACTTTTGAAGGTTGGAATTTGAGACGAAACTTCGCCACTTGCTGGCACTCCAGATCGACCAAATTCGTGTGTCTCATCGGTGCTAAAAAATTCAAGTTATTTTCTTCTCTAAAAATTTCAAAACGCACTTCCCGCCTCCCACAAGTTCAAGTAAGGTAAAGTTTTCTCATTTGGTATCAAACTTAATTGATCGTCATCGTCGAAGCACACTTCGATTATCGCTTTGCACGAAATAATTCCAACATTCTTGAAAACCACACTCCGGTATGAGCTTTCGCCAACTAAAGTCGGGACGAAATTTGTCGCGTAAAATCCGGTTTCATCCGGTTCCGGTTCCAGGAGAGCCACTTCCGGGACGCAAGCCTCTCCCACGACTTCGATCACCAATCGATCGACGATGTTAAAACCGCGACTTTCGAATGTCAGCACTGATCGATGTTCCTAAAACCGGAATTTTGATTCAGAAAATTTTTCCCGGACTTACATCGAGCGAATTTGGGGTAAAAACAATCAAAACATTTGCCGTTTGATAGGGATCAATCGAGAACGATCCCGGAGTGACCGTAAATACGTGTCCGGATTGGTTAAACTTGGCAGTGACAAGGGCTGAAACGTGTCCTATATTTTGAATTCGTATTCTTGTGGTCTCAGTTGTATTGACACACACTTTACTAAAGTAGAGCTTTTTCTCCGATTTGGAGAAAGTCACCCGATTATCGGTCTGAAATTGTTGTTTAGATGATTTTATTTGGGGAAAATACGATGTTACGTTTCCGGAGAGTAGGAAATCATCAAGTTTTTCCACAACGTATTGTTCTTTGAAAATCGTCGACAAATCATCGAAATTGATTTTGGGTTCGCAAGCGATTACGTGGACTTTGAGCACCTTGCCGTGGCGGTCGCTGGGGGATGGTTCGCTCACAGAGACTAAAATGGTTTCTTCGTATTCTTTGGCTTCGGTTGGTTTGGAGTGGACCTCAATGATTGCTTCGTCGTTCGGGTCGACGACCCCTGTGGAGGAGGTCAGGGAGAAAATCCCGAATTTCAAAGTCGTTTTTTTCACTTTTTTCCTGAGCAATAAAGAGATAAAGAAAGCACATAAGTCACTTAATAACAAAAGCCGAATTATTGCTTACTTTTTATCACTTTTCTTGCTAGATTTTGATTTCTTACTAGATTTTGATTTCTTACTCGTCTTTGATTTCTTACTCGACTTTGATTTTTTGCTGCTCTTTTTCGACTTGGTACTTTTTGTTTTTTTTGTCTTTTTCGAACTTTTGGTACTTTTTGAACCACTTTTTGATTTTTTCCCCTTTTTGCCTTTCTTCTTCTTATCTCCTTTTTCGTGCAAACTTTTGATTGTGTAGTTAAAATCAAACTTGCCTTTATTTAAAATTTGGAAAGTGTGTATTCTTTCTGAGCCCACAGTTTGGTAACCGAAATAAATTTCTGGATAAGGACACATGATAAATTTCGAAAGGAAGACTTTCGCTGAAACGTAGATATCAAAAGATTTCAGAAGGACTTGATGAAATGGGTCGATGAGGGAACATTTGAACACTGGAAGCTTCTCAAGAGTCATAACCTTTTTCGGAGTGAAAATAATCTCAGCTTCAAATTTCACGTTTGATAAGAGTTTGCATTCCGAAGGGTGAATCTCGAAGCATTTCCGTTCGCTTTCTTGTTCTTTATTGTCCTCAACAATTTTCGTAAAGGTGCACAGGATTTCGTATCGACCCTTATTCATGATATTGAAATGGATTTTGTGGGATTTTCCCCCTTTTATTTCGCCATAATTAAGCTCATTGTCATAACTGAAGTCAAGCGCTGTTATTTCAGCCGAGACCATGACATCAGTACAATAAACTAATCGAGACAAATTGTCATAAATCTGCAATTAAAACCAAAAAAATTGTGCCACTCTGTTTGAAAATAAAATTTCTCACATTGACTTGAAAGCTGGAATAATGGACTTCCATCTCCTTTGCTGTAAATTCAACAGTTGAAGTTCGAAACGAAAACGGCGGAATTTTTCCGCCGAAATTACTAATTTTGAAATTTTCTAAAACTTTGTGACAATTCACAAAATACCAAGTGACCTCAATTGGGGTATTATTCGTGATGATTATATTTTTAGTCAAAGAAATTTCAAGAGTGACTCTTTCAAAAAGAACATGTTTTGGGTTAACATCAATTGCGACCTCGCAGCCAAAACAAGACAAGTCGATTTTCGAAATTTGTGGATTGTTTTTAATTGATAAAACGAGGGAGTCTTCGTAGATTTTTTCCTCAAGTGGGGCTGCTATCATTTCCAAGTCTTTCCTATCTTTCGGATCGATTATATGCGAGTCGGGTTTGTGCAAAAATGCCGAAGAGTCGTTCTGAATTGAAAATTGAATGTCTGCAGGAATTCTGCTTATATTATTCAAAGCGAAAAAGGTACGGGCTTCAAAAGAGCTACAAGACGTATTTTTGACTGTTGTGGTTGAACGTTTACAGACCTATTTGTTGCTACATTCGGAAGCAAAATTCCCCCAAATTCATATGTGTTTGTACTCTTTACAAAAATGCAATGTTGGTATTTATTTCTCTCAGTTCGGTATTCGACCACTTTCCCGAAAAGGAAATACGGGTCTAGATCGATCCGAGGAATGTCACACACGGCAATACAGGTGATCGAAAATTTCACAGGCCAACCTACAACCCCGATTTCGAATGTGTGTTTGTAATTTCCGACAGATTTTGGAAGAAAACTGATTTGGTATTTCTTAGTTTGTCCGGGCTGCAGCACCGCCCTAGGATTGAAAATTTCTACAAAAGTGTTTAAATCAAGTCTAAAAATACATAACAACCTTGTTTTTCGTTAGAATTTTCGTTCATGGTCAACGAACTTCTGATTTTACTCGACTTTCGTTTTTTGCTACTAAGACTTCCCCTAGATCCCAATTTCTTATTACTTTCACTTTCAGACCCAGCATCACCCTTAAAATAAATTCACAGATTTTAAAATTCTTTTTTAATTTATTCTTATACCCCGGCAACAATGTCCTCGCAGTCTATAATACGAAAAACTTCAGTTTTTCGCACCGTGCGTATTTTCGGTTTCGGCAAAACCGATTGCATCAAGGAATTTTCTCGATATTCATATATCACTTGCTTCTCATGGGCCGCTTCTTCGTCTACGGTCGTTCTCATATAAATCGGTACAAAGTCTTCGAATTTCGAATCGTGCAAAACTCGGTTTATTAACCAACAGGGGATACCAATATCATCGCTTGATATTTTACTAAAACTGCTTCGTGGTGAACTTCCTGAAGTTAGTAAACTTCGAGCTGAATTTTTGCTACTCCTTTTGTTTTTCTTATTCTTTGTTTGTTTTTCCACTTTTGTGAATGGTTTGACTACATTACCGTTTTTTACATCCCAAAACTCCAAAGTATGCAAAATTTCGGATAACGTGTTTTCAAAGGTGTCAAGGATGGCTTTAATTTCCATTTGTTCTTTTGTGAGCTTTCCTGAAACAAATATTGAATTTTTTGTGCTCGAGATTTGAGGAAGTACTCTTTTTGCGTTCTTTGGACGATTTCCGGGAGGATTTTCCAGATTTTCGAGATTTCTTAGAAGAAGTTTTACTTTTCTTTGATGAGCTTTTACTTTTCTTTGATTTTATAGAAATTTTCGACTTTTCAGAAGATTTGGCTGATTTTTTTGTCTTGCCTGATTTACTCGAACCTTTACTTGATCCTTTCTTACTACCAGTCTTTTTTTTAATTTCCTTAATTTGCGTTTTAGATTTTTTATTTTTCTCGTCGCCTGTACCAAAATAATCAAACCTAATACTTTCAAATATGTGTGTTTACCCATAATTTTACTATTTTGAGATTCCAGCCTGGTCAACTTTCTTTTTTTGAGCATTTCTCGTCTTTTAATTATTTCTTCTTTCCGTTGCTTAATATAATTTGTATAAATATCGTGATGCTCAATCATGACTTTTTCAAACTCTTCAGCATTCATATCATCCAAACTTGTTATAATTTGGCTCAAAACCTTTCCAATATTTTCTTTCTTTTCTTCTGCTTTTTCATCTTCCAGCTCTAAATATTCGTTGAAAGTACATGAAAAAATGACGAAAAAAACCCCGTCCACGTTTTTGGACATACGCAACACACAGTTCAATGCTACTAAAGTCTTTCTCAAAAAATTACTTGCCAAGCTTTCCAGAATTATTCCGGAAGTAAATTTTGCCAAACTCTCTTCCAAAATATGACAAAATACGAATTCGGAAATTTTTAATAGAGTATCAGTAACGATTTGTTTCTTCTTTTTGCTTTTTGTACTTCCACTTTTTGAAGACATTTTCGAGGATGATTTTTTAGACTTCCTGCTTTTGCTACTCTTACTGCTCTTTTTGGAACTTTTCACACTTTTACTACTTTTGATCGACTTTTTACTACTTTTAGAGCTTTTGGCTGACCCTTTCTTCTTTTTTTCTTTTTTGGGTTTTTTCGGTTTCTTTCTTTTCTTTCGCCCTTCTAACAAAATTGAGACTTTCCTCGAAATAAAATCATAGCCGTCTAAAACAGTCAAATGTAAAAATAATTGACAAAAATGGCGAAATTACCTTCATTTAGAGGACTCTCAAGCTCTTCATCTTCTGCAACATCAACGAAAGCTTCGTTAATCATTTCATTGACTTGCTTTGCAGCTTCTGAAGTATTAGAAACAAGACTTTCAATTATAAGTCGATCGAGTGTATAAACCGGTAGTTGTAAACTTTTACCAGTCTCATGAGCCGTTCTGACATAGTCTAAAAAAATTTCTCAATTTTTTTCTAAAGACATACAAGTAATACTTGAAAGTGGAGCTCCATGGAATACAATCAAAAATCCTTTTGCAGAAGGATCCTCGTGTGTTTGTTCCCGATCTGCGACGATTTTAGGTTCGCACAAATCCTGTTTTTGAAGGCGACTTTCTCGCTTTGTTTTTTTGGAGACATTATCTTAAAATAAAAAAAAATTGAAAACAAATTGATTGATGAGCTTACTTGTGACCGAACTGTCTTTTTCCTGAGGCGGCTTTTCAGTTTTTGGTGAAGTTTCCCTGAAACAAATGTGTAGAAAATTTCTTTTTTTAGAAAGAAAATACCAGGATTCGGATGAAGCGCGAGTTCTGCTTTTTTTTCTCCCCGAATTTTTTTCTTTTGGTAGCTTAATTTCGGGTTCGTGTAGTAAATCGTAATTGGCCCCAAACATGGCGGGCAAGGCTTCCCCAGGGGCTCGAAAGTCGAAATAGACTTTACTCATCCCATTGCTAATGATGAAGGACCGGACTAGGGCCTCCTCCTGTAAAATTTTTCTGCACCGAAATTGGTACGAGTACAAACCTCAAGTTTGGAGTCTCACGTATCAAAATCCGGGAAGAAGAATTCTACCGGAAATTTGGACGAATTTTTCACAGTCACATATTTGTGGTTGTCATTCGAGTAAGGGATATTTGGATCGAAGATGATTTTTTCTTCAAAAATCTCCAAGTATGGTTCCATTCCGATTCCTTTTAATTGAACCAAAGTTTCTCTAAAATTTCCATCGACCGTGATTTTGAGTTCCGCGTTTATAAATTCATCATAATGCGGTTCGAAGTAAATCCGGAGATAGAATTTTTCTCCAGGTTCGAGTGACCCTCCTTGTACCAAAAGGAAGAAAGAAGTTTTCGTTTTTTTGATCGTTTCTTCAATCACTGCCGTCCAGTTACTAGTGAGATAACCACTGAAACTCAACAATCAAGCGACTCGCTTTACAATTAAACTAACTACTTGTTGATTATGTTGATTGTTTTTCGGTAACAATCCCCACATCTGATTGACCCAAAATCAACTTCATCGTCTGACACTTCAACAGTTGGGGTTGCAACCAAAACTTCTAATTGGAGGGGAATTCGGGGTCCGTTTCTCAAATCAACGTAAATAAATTCAGTCACTTTCGTATTCAACTCGGGATACTTTTCAACAGTGGGATTGAAAGAAAAGTGTATTTCCGAAATTCGATTTTTCTCAATCACATGTTTGACAAAATGCGAGTCAAACCCGTGTTTAGCAAACGTTGCCGAAGGCTGTGTCCTTAAGACCGTTCTTCCAGGACCGTAATTAACATAACACAAAGAATAGAACGATTTCGTGTTGATTTTCACACACCCCATATCGTAAATATAGGAACAAACAATGAAATTCGGAATAGGCCAAAATTTTTCACCTGCGACGAGTTTCCCGAGAATACTGCTTTGGTCATCTAGGAGATGGTATTTGGCCCAGATGCGTTCGATGGAAAGCTCGATTTCCATGGTACAAGGGAAAAAATCATCGACAAGGGAGATAATGACCCACCCTTCGTCTTCTAGGATATTTCTATCGGCTTCTGGTAAATAATCATCAGCACATTCACACTTATGACTCGCATTTTCTAATTCAGCGATGGCCGAATACGTGATATACGGGTCGATTTTGTCTAAATCCGGTCGGGGCAGAGTGAAATAAATTTGGGGGTAAACCCCAAACCCATAAACTGTCACACTCGCCGGCTCTAGATAGTCTGCTTGGACATTAAAACTGGTCTCAAAGCGGCCTACGGTCCCCGGAAAACACTTCAAAGTGAGCGGAAATGTCTCGCCAGGCGATATGGAGGCACTTTCTGGTTCGATGGTCAACCAGCCGGACGGTAAAGTGGCACCCGAAACCGCAAAAGTAAACGTTCCTTCGCCGTCGTTGACCAAACTCGCCTCGTTCTCTCCTGCTTCATAGAAATACAATTTTCCTAAGTCAACTAAATTGTCTTTTAAGAAATAGGAAATTTGTTTGGATTTTCCGGTTAGTAGTACTGGTTCGTTCGCGCCTCCTACAATGTGGCAATGCACCGTGGCGCTGACCTCACTATTGTCCTCCGGTGTGAACCGGAAGTAGATTATGATGAATTCGTCCGGATCGAGGCACCCTTCGTGGGGTATGATGCTGAAAAGTCGCGAAAATTTGGACTGGGACTTGGTCTGGAGTAGAAACCGGAGAAATGATTTTTTTGATTCGTCTTCCGGAAGGTCTTCCAAGAGCGAACAAAGCATATCCCGGAGTTTACTCTCGATGAAACACGAATCGGTACTTTCTTGCGACTCTTCACTTGGTTTGGTCGAGGGCGGATTGTCACTTTTTGAGATGTGAAGTCGGGAAATTTCCGGGGTTGAAGGCATCTATTGGACAATTTAAAATGACAAGGAAAGTGGAGGGTGAAAAATACCTTTGAATTTTCGAATTTTCGTTCGTAAATATCTTCAAGGAAGACCCATTTGAAGATGACTGGAAGCGGACTGGTGTTTTTTAGGACTACTGCACGATACGTTGAGGAGCCAAGTGGAACGCATCCAAAATCGACATTTCTGGGGTTTATTGATAATGTGGGATAGTTGGTGACTCCACGGACTGGGATTTTTTCCTAGTTTTTTTGAAGTTAGACATGTTAAGGTAGGGATAATTGGGATTTACCACTTTGGGGTGGTCTCGATAATTTATAAAGAAATAATCACTCCAACTCATGCATCGTTTGGGGTGGGGTGGTGGTTGAAACTCGACGAAAACGTTTCTATATGATAAATGATTCAATTTTAGGTATAAATGCCCGATTGCTTTGTCATCCATAACGATGTAAAATGGGGGTGGGAGCACAAGATCTATGTCTAGGGTTAAACCAGATTCGTTGCTGATTCGGATTTTGTCTGAAAAGCCGTCCAGTTTTTACAATTAATAATAATTATTGTTTGAATATTTATACAGAATGTCCTAGGAGTTTGCAAAGTCTTTTAGCAAATAAATATTATTAAATGTTATAAGTTTAAAAATATAAACCTACAAAAGTCATAAATGTGTTTTCTTTATTGAAACACCCTGTTTTTTGCATGGTAAAGGTTTATTTTTGGTTTTGTTTAGTTTCTGAACAAATTTTATTTTTTTGCCAAAAAAAAAGTAAGAATAATAAAAGAACAAATTTTCACTACAAAGTGAAATCTTTAAACTTCTAACATGTCCTTTTGGTATAAATTTTTGGATACTTTAAACAATAAATAAACAGTACCAAGTCGATGAATAGATTCTGGTTTGTTCCGTATTATTGAAAGTTTTCCTAATTTTAGTAATTTTTAATTGGAAATTCGTTTTAATAATTGAAATATGAAGAATTTGAATTAGATTTAAAAGCTTTAGTCTTGATTTTAGGGTCTACAAACCTCGCAAATTACAAATAACCCGATCCGACGTCACATCCAGACTAAAATTAAGCTCAGACTTGCTGAGCATCACATTCGGATCGACAAACTTCGCAGTAACGTCAAACGAGAAGATGACATGTTTAGTATGCGACTTTTCGATAACAGCATGACAATAAAAATGTTCACAAACATATCCTTGTTCTTTTCTCGATCCCGTAATCTTGATTTCCACAAACTCGTTTGTCATGAGATGAAAATAATTGGGTGTGATTTTAAACCATGAACTGAAACTAATTTGGGACATAACGAAGCACCGAAAGTAAAACACACAAACCCCGCGGATGAGTTTGTGCTTTGCTTCACAACTTTCAAGTCGTCGCTCCTCGAAAACCACAATTTGTGCCAGCGGGAACCTTCGTTTCGTAAAACAATGGGAAAGGAGAACTTTTTGTGGGTGAGTAGGGTTCCCAAGTCGAGTTTGGGTTCTAGTTTCGGGGAACAACTAATACTGGTGCCTTCGCCGAAAGCGGACAATTCGACGGTCATTTCTTGCCCGTTGACCACTTCAGCGATCAGTTCTTGCGAGTGTTTTCCCGGGTTTTTCAAGTAGACTGAAATTTCGAAAATTTCCTTGCTGTTGGGACGAATCACTTTGACTTCCTCTTTCAAACTAAAAGCGTTGTGTCCCGACTGGAATTTATACCAAGAAGGATTATTATTTCGAAAATTAAACGACTTACAAAAGAAAAATTGATCATTGCTACAATTGGAGTATCATTCACAATTTCGATTTCTTTAGTTACTGTTTCAAGCAGTGTGACTTTTCCAAAATTGAGACTTGGGGGAATAAAACAAATCGCTGGTCCTTGTCCGTTACAAATAATTTTACATAAGCGAACCGGCCCTTTGCCAAATATGTTAAAACTAAAACAATTTTTTATTACAATTATCAAAGTTTGGGTTTTTGGTACAATAAAGGAATTTCTTGTGTCCCTAGAAGGGGAGTTTGTATCTTCAACTTGATCTTGACTTCGCCCAAAGGCGGAATGTAGTTTTTGGATATTGTAACTTCAACAATCAATCCTTCATCTTTCTGAAAACACACAGTTTGGTTCTTCATGTACAACAAATTAATTCCGTCAACTCCACTCGGTATTAATCTGAAATGACAAGGCAAATCACTTTTATTTTTGAGTGTTACAATTCTGTCGTAGATGTAATTAATAAAGCAAAACTTTATATCGACTTTTGGGGGCACACACACAACATCGGCCACCCGACAATCATATTTTAGGGGCACCGAAATACAGTAATTCTTCGAGCCCCACATGTGGACAACGAATTCGGTTTTGAGTTGTCTCCTTGTGTTTGGCAAAAGAGTCAACTGAAATTTTTAGTTCAATTTTATTCAACTATTTGTGGGGGTAGTTACTATTCCGACGACGCTCGAATTTGGTTCCACTACACTATCAAAGGGTTGGAATTGAAACTCTTGAGGGTAGAGTGGAAATACGGATTCCTGCAGATAGGAGACACAATCTATGGGTGCTTGGTACCCATCACCACTGACTTCAATGTGGTACTGAATTGGTACCGGTGATGTGTTCCGGAGGACCACCTCAATTGATTTTCTGTAACCCAGGGCCACTACCCCGAAATCTATTTCGTCAAGGTCTAGGCTTAAAAGGGGGGCCACAACGTTGCCTCTGAAACAAATTTTAGTTCCCTGTCTTTCATCAAAGGAATTTTTACGTCATAATGAAGTGAATGGTTTCTTGGGACTCATTAATGCGGAATTCGACTTTTTCGATGAATTTTCCTTCTTCTCCTGGACTGAAAGAGACGGTGAAAGCGGCGTAGTGGTCCGGGTTGACGTGGAGAGTGTCCGGATTACATTTTATTTTGCCCCCGAATTCCAGTTTTTTGTCAATGTAACTGAGGGAGCCTGGAATGTGGCCCGTATTTGCGACGATTATTTCATAGTCGTGGATAGAACGCAAAAAAATATTATTTGCTTCGAGATGAGCCACATTCAGTCTGAATTCGGGCCCCAAACCCGTCCCTTGCAATTTCAATTCAATCCTTTCTTCGCTTCCGGAGATTTCCAAATAGGCCAAGTCTTCGAAAGTCTCGCATCGAGTAGGGGAGAAAATTATGGTGAAATCTACGACACCATTCAACCCCAACTCACCGCTCTACAAATTTTTATTAAGAAAAACAAATCAAAAGTTGGTAAATAAAGACCGGTGGAATAATCGAGAAATTTGAACTTTGGTACAAAAATTCCTCCTCTTGGACTTCATCGATTTCATCGCTTAAAATCCGATTATAGACCAACGCATGTCCTTCATCATCTATGACATTTTTCCGTGTTAGTGGCATATTTTTGTGAGTTTCGCAGTCCCGGACTTGCTCGAAAACATATTTCAGTTGTGTCAATCGTTCCTTTTCTAAATCACAATTCTTGTATTTTTTCCACTTGAAAAATCCCAAACCGATCGCGTGGTACTCCAATGGTACCATAACGAATCGCTGCAGTCCCACAAATGTATCCTCAAAGTTAATCGAATTATTCTCAAAGACAATCGTTGACAAAACCGCATTGCATTCAACTCCGATTTTCAACACCACATCATCGTCAAATTTCACAAGAACCTCCCCCTTTTCAACTCCCTGAATCCGAGTTTTTTGCTTGATTTTAACAAAAATTCTCTCATCGGGGGCTAGACAGGCCTTTGTGGGGCACATATAACAACCCTCGCTTGGAATTAAATTAAAAGTGCCCCCCTCAAAGCCACTATTATGCAAGACTAGGTTTTTTTCACTAGTCACATTTATGGGAACATCTGGTAGTCTAATCACGTCAGGAAAATCGATTAAATGTCTCGGACGAAACGCTATTAATATTCAAACTAATTAATCACTCAATCAAAACTGAATTAATTACCTACCGAAAATTGGAATTGTGAATTGTGCTTCTTCTGTTATAAAAGTAATTTCATGTTTGTAGTCTTTGAATTCATCAGAAGTGAAAGAAATTGTTAATTGGTAGGTCATACCGGGGGCTATTTTGGTCCAAACGACTTTCGAAGGGTGGGAAAGTTTGAAATGTATTGTAGGTTCAAAACTAATCTGGACGCATCTGGAAGACTAAACTTTTGTTATTTCGAATTGGGGAGTTGTTTTCACTTGCTTGTTCTTTGTTTTGAAGGGTCAAAGTGGCACTGTGGCACTTCCCGAGTTGGAAATTTTGGAAAACAATCAGGTCGGGAGTTGCAAGAAAGGGACTTGGTTGGGGCAAAACCCGGTTTTTGCGATTCTTAGAAAGACTTTCAAGACGTTCTTCCAAACTCATTTTCATCTCGTTTAAATACTCAGATGGAAGAAACTACAATTCGAAAATTAGGGGCGTCATAGTGACCTTGAACCCGTACTGGATCCTCCTGTTTGTTTAGAATAAGACGCAAAACTCGCATCAAATTGTTATCATGGGGCTCACAAATAAGATGTGACTCCATTATTTTAAATAAAATATTCTGACGTGTATAGAACTTGTCAAATAAAACAACAAAACTGACTTTTGAACCGATATATTGATAATAAATATAACACAAATCATTTCTTCTTGCTCTTTTCTTTATTATTATTTGCTAGGACTTCTCCAGGGGCGGGGTAAGGGCGTTGCTGGTACAGCACCCCAGAAGCCGTGTTATCAGCCCTCGACTTATTGCTCTCCAGACCATCACTCCACGTTCCCTGGGGGATATCCGAATACGCGGCCGGATCCATGGGGTCTATAATATCCTCCCGCCTTTTCTTCCTCCCGTGTCTATCCTCCTTCCTGTGTCTTCGATCATCTCTGTCCCTATCCCTCTCCCTCCTATCCGAATGTTTGTAACTCCTGTCATCATCATCAGAGTCATTATCGTCTGACCCTTTATCAGACTTGTCATTTTCCGCCGCTAAAATCCGTTTCTCGCGCAATTTCGCCGCACTTAAGGTCTTGACCGATTTAGGGTGTCTCGGCGGCAGCCACGAAACCAAATCATTTTCCATATTCCAATAGTAGTAGCGTCCCCTGAAACCCAATTTGTGTCAACTTCCTCACATTTGGTCCTACAATACTTACAATCCCTTATCAAAAACTTCAGTCCAACTGTTGGGCAAAGGGTACCTAAATAGGAGTTTTTGCATGTTACGCATGTATCGAGGGTCGGGGGTTAAAACGCCCTTCCAATGGGTCTCACACCAGTAGGTGCATTCGTGATAAATGTTGCTTTTATTGGGGCAAGTCGACCAACCTTTGAAGTTGCGTTTCTTTGATTGTTCGTCTGATTTCTTGGCTAAAATTGGGAAAATGAGTTAGTGGTACATTTTGCATTGGGTGGCTTACAAGCTAATAGCCCTCTTTTTGCTAAACGGGCCGCTAAAGCCGATGGTAGAGGCATTTTAGTGATTTGTTTCAAAGAACAAGAATATTCTATTTCTTTGATTTGTTTGTAAATATAACCTCAAATGTGACATAACCTCAACTCTCAACTGTCGGTAATGACAGCCACAGGCCCGGATTCGAAAATTTCTATCCCATAATAGTTGTTAATTAATAAAATGTTATTTTGATTACTGCTTTAACTTGAGTTTAGCATAGAAATCCGATTATAAGTCTTTATTATTGAAAAAAATCGATTGATTTTACTTTGGTGGACAGAGTCGGATTTGGCAACTTTTAAAAAGGGCTTGGAAAAAATTAAATAAAACGACTTAACATTGTTTGTCATATTTGTATTTAGTGAGATATAAATTACAAAATTAATAATAGGATTGGCTGTAATGGAACAAAATGTACATGTCTACTATAAAATAAAATAGTTTTTATTGTTTGGATGGTTTTTAAAAATTGTTCTATGTACAGGACAGATTACGCAATAACTTAAACTAGAATGAAGTGCGATGTAATTTAATTTCTTTTCTTACTCTAAAACAGAATTCTTTGAGATCTGACATGATGGTGAATCAAGAATATTGCAGAAAGGAATCACAATTTTCCCATTAAAAACTGTAATAAAATAAAATCTATGTAAACAAGAAGAACGCTTATCTAACTTCACCGTCCACAAGTCGGTAAATTAACTCTGAAGAAGGCATTAAGCTCGATGAGACTGGCCAAAATAAGAAAGATGGCGTACATCAACAAACAAATCCGACCGACTCTCTTATCTAATCGAAATTTGTTTACGGCAAAAACCAGGTAAAGCAGAAGTAGCGATGACAAAAGGGAGATGGCGCTGTACTCAATTCCGGCCGAATTTATCCCCACCTAAAATTTAGTTTTGAAAAATGTGGTAAAATCAAATATGGCGAACGGACCCAATGCTTTCCTGCAATTGTCGGCATAAATGTAGCTTTGATAAACCAGGGAAGACCCAAACAGAGTAAAATATCAAAAGTATTGGAACCAATCGAGTTGCTTATGCCCATCGAACCGTGTCCTTGAAACAGTCAAAGTCACTGAAGGCGGGAAGTAGACTTTACTTACCTTGTTTGGCAACAATGACACTCGAAACGGCTTCCGGAATGCTAGTTCCAGCGGCCAAAAATGTGATTCCCATCACGGAATCTGGGATTTTTAGAGTGTCCCCTGTTTAAACAATGATTGTTTTAATTATTATATTTAATTACTATTCAAATTTTACCGATGATTGTAATCATCCAAGCGACAACATACGACAGGGATCCGATCCAAATAATACACATAGTGAATGTCAAGGGGAACCATTTCTTAAATCTCGGTTTCTCACAATCGGGAATTGTGAATAAAAATATCAGATGGATGGGCCACGTGATAACCCATGTGAATTGGGTGAATGTGCTTCTTCCAGCCGGCCATTTCCACAAACAGTGTGGCTCATCTTCGACCATATTTGCCGTTTCGGTCTTTTTCACTTCTTCGGCTTCGATTTCCGGTACTTTGATGGAACCATTGAGATGCGATGGTACTATCACATGTTCCACAACAGGTCCGATGTTTTCCGTGTTGTGATTATCACTGATATCTTTAATTTCTTTGTTGGATTGAAGCGGTAAGTGGGCCTCAGCCGCCTCTGGGAACAAAAATTTAGAACCAATCTCTTGTATGTGCAAAAACGGGGAAACAGTGCTGGCAAGGGCACTCACCTATTGATTGAGGGGAGGAATTGTGCGGAGCCTGTGCAGATTTGAACCCACCTAAAAGAGTGGTGCTTTTTGGTGGAAAACATTGAAGAAAATTTAAATTCTAAAGTGGAGTACTCACCACTAAAACACTTACCTCTAGCACACTTTTGAATGGACTTGTCGAAATACATTATAAGGATATACACTGTGTAGAGGAGTACCAAGGTTAAAGCTTCATACCATTCCACTCTTTCGTCGTGAATTATGCAAATAAGAATAGAAACAGTAATGCCATACGCCAAACAATCCCTAGTTAGTGGCCACCAATCCAAAGGAACCACTTTCACTCCACACTATCAAAACAAAATAATTTTTTTATTTTCCAAATTCGAAATTTACCAATCCTGCGCCGATGCCACAGCACGCTGCGACGGCCAGAATGTTGAAAACGGCCGATCCAACGATGGTACCAACGCCTATATCGCCCTCAGTGATGAAGGTACCGATGACGTTGACGAAAAGCTCAGGAGCAGAAGTCGCAGCTGCCATAAACGTCGCTCCTGCGACATCCGCTGACATATTTAGAGCTACGATTGATTTATTTTAATAAAAGTTCAATGTGGGGGTTTGATGGTACCGTGGCATATTTTTTCTACAGCCGGTACAAAAAATTTATCACAGACTACGGCCAAGGCGACGAAGAGGTAGAGGGAAACGACAACATGTACAACCACGGCCCCATCTTGTCTTTCCTTTTCGGTGAAAAAATCTCGAGGGAAATCATCAATGGCGGGTGGAGTACAATTAAGTCCTGCGGAAGGAGGCCGGATTAATGCAGTTGCAATTACTTTATCGAGAATGAGATGGAATGGCTTTATTTTTCTTTTTTCAAAAATATGTCAGAATAAAATAAATTATTTCTTCACAAATTCGACTTTTTTACAAATTCCCTCTCATTTAAAATATCGACACTGTATTTTTTGGAGAAAATTTATGGTTGCAATTTTGAGAGAAACTAAATTGTTCTAAAAATCATCCGAATGATGGTACGGTTCTTTTGAATTATTCTGTATACAGGATGAACAAAAATTATGAAACGTATAATAAGTGTACGGTTAAACTAATTGCTTTTAGTAAAATTTAATCAGTGCTGTAACATGAATAAAATACTTTTTTGCTGTTGAGTTTTGAATTTCTTTAAATGGCAACCTACTGAAATTTTTTGCGATAAAAATTGAATTCTATTTAGATAGTTTAAGTCGCAAACAAAATCTTTAAACATGGTACCAGTGTTTTTTTTGAAAAAATTTAGAATACCTTTAGGACCAGAGCTAACATGGCAGTTTAAATGCCTATCAGGGACGGACAAATAACAATTTTCAGTTTCTTGTAGGTTATTTAAGAAATTATAAGTGTAGCCTATAGACACGAGATCATTTTTTCGACAGTTTGCAAGTTAAAATCTGGTGTTTAAAATTTAATAGTTTAATGTTATTTTTCAAGGTTTATGACGGTAAATTGGTCACGCTATTCGAAATGAGTGAATTTCCTCACGAAAAAGTCATAATCCGGTATGGAGGTACCACCACCGGTTGTAATAATTTGTTAATTGAATTTAACTCGTGACTCCTTGAGTGCAAGTTCAACTCTATTGAGAGGTCATAACATCACCGTAATCAGAGTATAGAAAATATCGTCTGCTTTTACAATGCCAAAAGCTAAAACTAATCTAATAAAGCGCTGTTAAAAACTCCCTCGAAAATAAATACCATGTACTCGGCGATTATCTAATTTACCAGCAAGTTACGATATTTTTGATGTTGTAAACCGACGTAAATTGCGAGCCAACAATAGCCGGACGCTCCTATTTGTTTACCACCGAGTTCCTGCAATAATCCGGACAATAGAAAAAACTAATACGTCATCAATAAACCGTCCAAACCCATTAGGAAAATTCGGTCCTTGGAGCCGTTCACTCGGAGAAACGCCGATTAATCCCTACACTTACCCATTTCGAAGACAAGCAAACTAATGGCATTAGATACGCTCTGATACCCATACACTTAATTGCACCGATTATACTAAACAAGACGAATCCACGGATCGTTCAAGACTTGACGAAAAGTGGAAAAGTCGCGACGTACACTCTTTGTACCGCAAAATCAATGTAAACTGCATTTACGACGCGATTTGGGCCAAAGTGAAAGGAAATTGTTGGGAAAAATAGCAGCAAAGTCGGTTTTTTCATCGATTTAAAAAGCGAGTGTTGTAAGGACTGTTTTGGGTCACTGGTGGCTGCTTGGACTGTTGGTGCAACTCGAGAGCAAGTCGCGGTAAATCCCAAGCGGGCGAAAAAAGTTACACAATTATGCACTTGAGCGATGACTATTATTTTTCATTAGGATTAATTGGTAGCAATTTGGAATCAAGTCCGAGATTCTGTTTCGCAAAACAATAATTAAAAATTAAGAATTAGATTTTCATATAGACTGTTCTAAAATGAATTGGCAGCAAGTTATTTATATATTTAACTTGCCTAAACTCATTTGTCAATTGGGACTTAAAAATCAAGAGAAAAAGTAACTTTTCTTTTTACTGAGTCAGAATAATGAAGTTTTAGTTATAGATTTGCTCGTTTAAAATGAAGCAAAAAATTTTTTTCCTTTGCAGTTTTGGTGTAAAATCAAAGATATTTTTTTTTACCTCTTGTTAACTTAATCCGGGGACATACTGTACATTTATTTCAAATTTGTAAAAGAAAAATTAAAAGATTTTGAAAGCTATAAAGATATCTTTAAAATTTTGGCATAATTTAGAATGTCTTCCAAGATGTACCTCAGCCAAGTTTCGTAAAAATGTTAACTGCAACATGAAAAAGCAAAGGAGAAACAACTTACCATTACTGGCAATTGAGATTAACATTGCGAAATATACATATTTATAATCCTTAGATTAAATTTGGACAAGTTGATATTTAAAAAAAATGTTTTCATTTATCAATTAAGTATAAAAAAATTGAATCTTGCTTTTATAAACATACTTATTTTAAGAGATGTCTTCTTTCGTCGCTGCTAAAAATTGACCAATTTTTTTTCTTGATTCTAAAATAAATAACACAATAAAACATTCGTCTTATTTGAAGTTAACAGTTTTTTTAGAAGAAAATTATAAGACATGAATATCTCTTATTTGTAAACAATTGTTATCTTTTTTTATTCGAAATAATTAACTTTAAAACAATCTATTTTTTGTGGTGTACATACGTTGGGAAAAAATAAAATTCCAATTTTTGCTCCAACACAATATACCAATCGTTGCCAAACATACAAATTAATACATACCAGGTGAATAAAAACTATGGAACCAAACGTTTTTTGCTTAAACTATTTATTTTTTGAAAAAACTAATTGATGAGTGATAAAGTACTATAAAAATGTGATGATTTAACAAGAATAAAATTTTTCGAAATTTCCTTTTGTTTTTGAGTTCTACAAAAAAAAATATTTTTTTAAATGGCAACCCACTATAAAATCATTTTTCTCATAAAAGCTATACTCAAAGGATTACAACTAGCTACTTTATATTTAATTTTTTACATAAATTGCAATTTTGACAAAAAAAAATCGTATAACTCAAAAACTAAACAAACGTTCGTCCTGAAAATACGATCACATTTTTTATATTACTTTACTTTATATTAATTATTTTTTTCTGGAGGCAAATGATTAAAAATAAAACCGCTTGGTTCCATACTTTATATTCACCCTGTATATTTTTTTTATTTAAATAGTTTGGTGGTAACAATTTGGATTGTTACTTAGCAACCAGGATATTGAATGATTTTTTGTTGATTTTATGTTTTGTGATCGCACCAATTTGAAACAGATGTTAATACTTTATGAAATTTAGATTTTTTATAATATCATATCATTTGTGAGCTATCACCACTGGTTGAGTGCCCTGCCCGATTTGGCTTAAATTTTTCTCTGTTGTGAACTTATCCGTTAATTGGTGTGTTCCTTTTGGGTTGGTTCCCGATGTCGAGGCATCGAAATAAAAGACGCAGGCAGGCTCTTGTCCGTCAATCATCCACTTAGCAGTTGGAATTTTAAACGAGTTCTAATTCAGTTCACTGTTCACGAACGCAATACCGCGCCGAAATCACCATTTTTGGCACTGTTACTGAGAGGGTGGCGCGTGGTGGACGTGGTGGTGGTGTCGTGGGTGGAGGGTGAGTATTTACCTGATGCCAACGTTTCGAAGTCCATGTTGTTCCTGCTGCGACTCTTCACTCACTGATTTGACCCCCGCCCCTCTTATTACACTACTGCTGGTGACAATCATCTGCTCGACTGGACTCTAATATTGGGCACTTGCTAATGTCACTGCTGTTGTTGTATTGTACTCCAACTGGCTTATTGTCGATGCTCCGATTAGATCGTAAACAACCGACCTATCTGCATTTACGATGATTTAAACGTAGGTTGGACCGGCAAACGGTTTTTTAACACTTCTTCATCAATGGACATTCTTGAACATACTGAAAATTACACACCATCTTCTAACAAAGATATCTGCTCTAGCATTTTGCCAATTCTTTATCGGTTTCTACACTTTTCTGATCTGGATACAGAAAAAGTACTTATACGTGGCAAAATGCGGTCACTTATTTCTGACACCCACTGTATAGGTACTTTGACTTCTTTTTGAAAAAACAATATTTTAGTTTTGAAAGAGTTATAATGACAAAAATTAAACGAAAATATACAGGGTGTTTCAGAACTCACGTCCCAGAGAAAAATGCGAAGTAAGAAACGAAAAAAAATTATTACAAAATTCTATCTGTCAAAAAATTTGGACATTTATTTTCAGACATTTGACTTTTTTTATGTCTATKTATTCTTATTCTTGATGTTTTTCCATAATTATTCAATAAGGGAACAAAAGCTTTTTTTTTAATATTACCGATAATCTTGTATAGGTTTTTTATAATTATTCAGTAAAGATACCAGCCACAACATAACGTTAAACATAGTTACAATTCAGGATACAGCTTCTTGTTTTTCTCTGCTATAATTATTATAATGTATAATTATTTTTCCAATTAATAAATGAATAAATTGGGTCAAAATGCAAAATTTAAACCCCCAAACTTTCAAAATTTAGATACATGGATTTAATTTTTTAGACATTTTTTCATGTTCGTGGTGTGTCTCTGGGGAGCACGTTCTAAAACATCCTGCATTCAAACAATATAAATACTGATATCTTAGGCCAAAATCTAGACAAAAACGAACTTTTATTTCCACTTACTCAGAAAGATATCATTTTAATTATAGATTTGGTTGTTTTAGATTAAGCAAAAATGTTAAAAAAGTTTTTTGGAGTAAAATCAAGGATAAGATTTTTCTCATCTTGTATTCAATCCGGAAACATACTGTATAGTCTAAGCAAAATGAAGCAAACCTAAAGATTAAAGAATCGGAAAAGATTTTTTTATGTAAGGAGTTCTAGGCCAGAATCTTTCCCCAAATTATCTTTTTACACCTTAGGAAAGTTTTATCAAAGTGTCTTTATCTTTAAGAATTATTAAAAAATCACAGGGGCGCATCAACGCCAACTCAATAAATTATATATTAGTTGTCTAGACTCGATTTTAAAATTCTGCGAAAAATTAACTTTTTAGATCCGATTAACGTCTGAATTACTCATCTTTCGTTCCAGAGAGCAAGACCTCGTCAGATCGCGGATTCACGCTACTAATCTCTCTTTATATTTATAACAATTTCAAGAAAGTGCGTTTCAATTTTAGCCTTATCTCGAGCACTATTTTTTGTTGTGCTCTTCGCTTTCTGAGATTATTTATGTTTTCTGTAATAACTTTTCCACTATTGATAGGTTTGTAGGTATAATCTCTTTTGATAAGACTATAGTCGAGTATTTATTGGATCACGACACTAATAGAGAGTTTACTTACTTTTGTCGCGTAGATCGAATCGCTTCGAATTAATCTAATCAGTGTTGTGCGAGATTTCAAAATAAATAATAAAGTGTTTCATTTGAAATATTGTGACTAAAGGTTAATAAAACCACAGCAAAAATTATTTTATACAATTTAGAGTGTCTCCATTATATTAGTTATATGATTATTTGATATTAATATTCTGATAAAAAATATGGGCATGTTGCTTAGGACTAGAAAAGTTGCCCTAGGGCTTAAAGTGATTTGTATTGTATCAGTGACTGCTACTTACGCCATTCTGGGAGCTTTATCCCGGAAACATAGGAGGACGGAAGAAGGTCCAGGATATGGTAAAATGTTTTTCAATTTTTGTTAATAACATTTGCATCATTGTTTTGATAGTAGACGTTTAATTGGACTGACCTTAACAAACGTTATCATTTTTCGGGGTTCTTATCGTTTCAAAATTCGCCAATACCTCAGTCTAACATTAAGAAATACCCCTTATTTTGCTTGTGAAAATTATATCTAATTAATGTTGGTTGAGTAATTTGTTTGTGATAATTAAAAAACCGCAAATTAAAATTTGATTTAACCTCCTGCTGTTCCGAAAGCGGCAAACTTTTATGGCTATTTTATGGAGCTGTTACTTGTGACCCACGACGATAAGACGCTCAATTAATGAAATTAAATACAACTGAACATTTTTTTAATAATTGAAAATGAATTAGCATTATTTGTGGACGCAACCACTCTAGATTTCTACGTGATTGCCGATAAGCCGCTTGACTTTAGATTATATTGTCTGTAGTAACTTGAAAAAATATGTCAATTATTTGTTGAAACATTACACAATTTTGGTTTGTTGACAATGGGGCGGATACAAAACTTTGGAAAAACACCAGATCGAGGAGAAAATAACAATCGCGAGGTTACTAAGGTTAATGGAAAGTTACAGTAACTTAAAAATAGCCGGCCGATAAGGATTCAATGCCTAATCAAATAAATAAAAACTTCTGCTCTTAGAAAATATTCCGACTGGCCGCCACTTGCTCGGCCTCATCTCCCCCTTCAACTGCACCCCCGCCGCCATCAACGAGTTTCCCCCCGACGGCTTCAGCCGCCTCCAGCGGCAAAACGGTTGGATTGTCCTTCACGTCCTGCTAGCCTGCTACTTATTCGTCCTTCTTGCTGTCGTCTGTGACGATTATTTCGTCCCTGCCATTAAAAAATTCTGTGATAGTAAGTCGCTCATTCCAACGTTACGACCCTCTGACTCCTATTTCAGGCTTAAACATGCGGGAAGACGTCGCCGGAGCCACTTTCATGGCCATGGCCAGCTCTAGTCCGGAGTTATTTATCAACTGCGTCGGCACTTTCGTCACTCAGGGCGACATCGGCGTTGGTGCCATCGTGGGCTCAGCAGTATTCAATGTTCTGGCCGTTCCTGCATGTTGTGGCCTTTTTGCCAACATGGTGAGTTTTGCAAAAGTTGAGCCAAGGCAGGGGAAAAACTGGGAGATTTTCAGGTGATTTATTTGGATTGGTGGCCGATCAGTCGCGATAGTATGATGTACGGGATTTCGGTTATTCTGCTGATTAGTTTTCTCCAAGATGGGAAGATTTATTTGTATGAAGCGTTTGCACTGATTCTAGTTTACGTTATTTATATTTTGAGTAAGTTGAAATATGGAAAAAAAGAGGAACATCTAGTGGGGTTATACTACTAAACACGGTGATTCAAAAAAATCAGACCACCGTGTATTTTCTGCAAAAATGAAAGAATTTGCTACACGGGATGACACTTGAAAAGAATAAAGTTTGTGTTGGTCGAAAATTTTGAGAAAAAGAGTAAAATTCAATAGGCCCTATGGAGTGATTGTCACCCATCATTTTTTATAGTCGAATAAATGCCCTTTTAATAAGCATTGTTTTTTTGCAAAAATTAAAAAATCGCTACGTGGAATGATACTTGAAAAAAAAGTTCATGTTGGTAGAAGAACATTTTGAAAAAAGGAAAAAATTTAATAAGACCCTATAATGAGTGATTGTCTCCCTATTATTTTTTTTACAGAGGAATGTCCTTTTAATAAGCTTTGTTTTCTGCAAAAATGAAAAAGATTTACTACACGGAATGACACTTGAAAAAAAAATTGAGAAGAAGAAAAAAAAATAGTAAGGCTCTAAAGAGTGACTGTTACTTTATCATGTTTGACACTCAAACGCCCTTTTGATAAGCTTTGCTACACGGGATGCCACATAAATACAGTTTGTGTTGGTATAAAATTTTGAGGAAAAGAAAAAAAATTAATAAGGCCCTAAGTAAATGTCTAATTTAAACAATAAGTAAATGTCACTTCACCATTTTTCAATCGAATGTCCTTTTAAGCAAAAAAGTAAACATTTTTTTTATTAAAATTAAAAAATTACAATTGAATGAATAGGTAAAAAAACAAATTCTTATAATGATTGAAATTAAAGAAATAAAATCCGGCTCAATGAGCTCCTTAAACAAAATTTTTATGTGGTAACAATGATAATAATTCAAGGAGCACAATTAAAAAGTTTCTGGTTCTCAGCTTTATTTTTCAAAAAAAAAACTTTTAGCTTTTTTTCTATAACTATGTTAAGTTTGCTTCTTTGGACACCACTTAATTTAGTTTTTTCTGACATTTAGTGGAGGTGAAGATATAATCGCCAAATTATATTTTTTTTATTTTTCTCTTGGAAGGTTTGTTAAATATTGAATATGATTACTTTTCAGTTTTTCTACAGTATAGTTGTAAAAGGTATAAAGATATATGCGCAAGTTTTATTTTAGATATGTATTTTGTTTTAATTAATTTCTACATTTTACTTATAATTTTGAAGGTTGGTTTAATTTAGCACCTCTTACTAATAAAACGCAAAATTACTTTTTTGTATACGCTCCCGAAAATAGCTTTATATGTATACGCTCCCAAAAACAACTGTTTTAGGAACTCATTTGAGTCCCTAAAATAAATTTTTTCCTGATTCAATAAAATAGTACGTAAAATGGTTATTTTAGGTACTCAGTCTCCAAAAACAGTTTTTCCGGACTAAAAAATAAAATTGGCTACTATGGTGGTGAAATTTTTTAAATTAATAAGAGGTGTGAATTCGTGTTTTGGGAGCTTTAACAAAAAAATGTTGGTTGTAACACGTACCTAAAACGTTTTTGCGGACTCATCTGCTATCTGCAACGATTCGTCCACAAAAACTGTGTTTTAGTTATTTACTTGTAACAAAAATGACTATTTTTGGGACTCATATGAGTCTTTTCCGGACTCAAAAAAATAGTACTTACCTAAAATAACCATTTTAGGTACTCAGTCACCAACAGTTTGTCCGTTCGAAAAAGTCAATTTAGTTACTATGGTATTCACTTTTTTTAACAAAAGAATGTGGTTTGTAACACGTACCTAAAACTTTTTGAGGACTCTCTGCTATTCCAGACTCGGCTTCGCCTTGTCCGTAAACAACATTCGTTTGCAAAATTTACTTGTATGTAACAAAAATATCTATTCTTAATTGAATTAATAAAAATTTACATTATGTAACAATACTAATAACAAATTTGCTTCTTAAAAAAGTTGTATCTGAATTTTTCTTTTAGTAATTTGTTGGTTGAAAATTGTTAGTCTTCGTCTTACGTATAAGTATACTTGGTTATTATAATTTTGAAGATTAACACTGGTTATGAAAAACATTTTATTACGACGCCTATGAACAATTTTTTTGAATAGTAAACATATGTTTAATGTCAAAATCCTGTTTTTTTTGACGTCAGTTTGCCACCAGATTTGAAACAAGCTCTACTCAAGATCGTTTTGAATCATGTTGTATATTGAGCTAAATTAAAAATGCAAAGTTTTTTGCGACTTTTTTTATAACAACAAATTGCGGTTGTTTTTATAACAACCAATATTATTTGGAAAATGTTGTTTCAATGTCATACCTTATATTTTTATCTGCGAAACAATGCAAATTATACTGGGTGGAAAAAATTGCCAATACGTTAACGGCATATTGTTAAGACCAGACTAACCTGAAAACTTTTAAAGAGATTTTGCTTCCTTACATCCTGAAGCAGTTAGTTCCTGGAGCACGCCTTGGAGAAATGTTTTTTTTTTAATAATTCAAAAAGTAATTATTTCCACTCTGTGTAACAAGTAAGGAAAAACTATAAATAAAATCATACATGTTAAAAATTTATTCTATTTTACGTAACAGCTGCATTACTATACAGGGGGCGCCAGAACTCGCGCCCCAGAGGAAAATGCCTTATAAATTAAGATACCAGGAATATGGAAAAAATGTTAAAAAAATTTTATCTATAAAAATTTCGAAGTTACGAGGGTTTAAAGTTTGCACTTTGACTCTATTTATTTGTGTTGGAAAAATAATTTTCTAAGTTTTTTTGCTATAGGCTATTAAAAGAGGAAACAAGGAAGCTGTAGCCTAAATTGTAACTCTGTTCAATGTTATTTGTGGCTTTTATTGGCAAATTTTTTATACCTTTACTAAATAATTGTAAAAAAACATATACAAGACCATCAGTATCATTAAATAGACATAAAAAAATGTCAAATGTCAAAAAATAAATGTCAAAATTTTTTGACAGATAGAATTTTTTAAAAATTTTTTTCATCTTCCTGGTATCTTATCTTACTTGAAATTTTTCTCTGGGGCGCGAGTTCTGGCGCACCCTGTATATTGTTAGTCTATTGCCCGTGCTAGATGTTCCATTTTTTCGTCGAGCAGTATAATGTATCATGATCGGATTTTTTCAGTAATGTTTTTCAATAGTCCTTTAATGAGACTGGCAAATTCATTAGTGAGTAAATGTCGCCGCAAAGGCCACTACGTGGAAATAATCGCCGAAACGACTCCCTTGCTGACCAGAGGGGAGGAAAAAAACGGAGTCAACGAGATTCTAGAAACCGAGTTTACTTTAAAAGACTGCGAAGATCTGGGTACGTCTAAAAATACTTTACGGTTTGTTTGTGTTTATTAAAATTCGATTCAATAGTAATGAAGGTCAATTTTATTAATTTTTAAATGCCATCATAAATAAATTTCAGAGGAATCGACCAAAATCTGGGAATGGCCGAGTGACCACTCGAGGAAGGGTCAATTCTGGTGGGTCATGACCTGGCCGATATCTTTTCTCTTATATTTAACAACCCCCGATTGCCGAAAATACCCTCGACTTTTCGTTGTGACGTTCATTATGTGTATTTTTTGGATCGGCGTGACCTCTTATGTGATATCCTGGTTGATTACAGTCATCGGTAAAAAATACGAAAAGTTAATCAAACAAATTTATAAATTTTTTATAGGTGATACACTAGATATTCCCGATTCTGTGATGGGTCTCACGTTCTTAGCGGCGGGAATGAGTGTACCTGAAGCCGTATCTAGCGTAATAGTTACAAATCAAGGTGAAATAACATATAATCAAAGTTTTCAAACTTATGAATGTTTTAAGGGTATGGATCGATGGGGCTGAGCAGTTCGATCGCTTCCAACACTTTTGATATTCTGCTATGTCTCGGATTGCCTTGGTTTATTAAAACGGGGTATTACCCTAAAACGCCGGAGAAACGCTACATTAAAATCAACTCAGCTGGGTTAAGTTACAGCGCGATTTCATTACTTTCCACCCTTGTGCTGTTTTACCTCAGTGTGGCTTTTAATAAGTTCAGGTGAGATTGTCGATCAAATTTTTGCTTTAAAATCACAATTTATTTGCAGGCTAAACTGGAAAGTGGGTCTGACATGTCTTTTGATGTATATTGCGTTTCTCACCTTGGCATCCCTTATCGAACTAAACACTTTCTTCCCGGTGAACTTACCCACATGTGATCGATAAGAAAAAAGATGTTTTAGTATTAGCCATCGACTGATTATTCGTAGAAACTATTACAAAATATTTTACTTTTCTTTACTACATTTTTTAAAATAAATATATGAAAAGTTTATTTGCTTTTTTATCTCCTTTTCCCACAAACAATAAAAAAGCCGATCAATAATAAAGTAAATATCTCGTCGTTAGTACAAAATATGTAAGAAAACGTTCTTCCTCTTATTTCGTTATTAGACCACAAGCTCTGCTTTTTAAATTATTATATTTGTCCAGAATTGTTTGGAAAAATATTACAAAACTGTTGTACTTTGAAAACGGATTCTTTTCGTGTGAAAGCAACGTAAAAACTACAATTTATAGGGAAAAGCAAAAAATATAAAATGCGTCTATTTTAAATGAAGGTCATGATAGTGCTGCAATATACGAGCAATTGAGAAACTAGAAATACTGTAATACAAGTTGCATACTGTTGTTATTTTGTTTTCATTTATTTATAACTCACGATATGTTGAATTGCTAAAATTTGAACGTCTATATTGTTTTTGACTGTAAGTAATTACTAATATTTTCTATTAAAAAATGTACTAAATCTAATTGTTAAATTTGCGCTGGCTTAAATTGACTCTAATGTTGCTTTTTATTTGGTAATTATTCTATCAACGAGTTTAAAACTCTAGCATAATCCCTTACAAAAAATACTGCAAAGTTTTATTGCAAAAATTTTCTAATCTTAAAATGAGAATCAGAAAAACTCCAAACAACCATAACATGTTTTTTGGCGAAAAGTAACGAAATTCATTTAAAAGTTCGATGCTAGGTCAGGTTCGAATGTTTTTGTTTCAGTCTCTAAACAATAACAAAAATAATATTGGAAATAACACAACACACAAAATTTTGGCCAAATGTTAGATGATATTAACAATGAATGTTACAAAATATATTTTTTAAATGTTGAAATATATTTTTGTTGCTATTATTACTTTGTGATAAGATCTGTGTAAAATAAAATCTTTCATCACTTGTCCTAGTTAAGATTTAGTTGAGTTTTTTTATAATATCGTTTAACTCACTTTGAATATTTCATTTACGAGTAGGTAAGACTATTTTTTCATTATTTGTGTTACTGGATTTGTACCTATCATTGTATCAATGTTTGTACACACGTTTAAACATATTGAAAAACTGCTTCTTATGTATATTTAAGTATTTGTACAAAAAATTCCAAATGTACTACTTAGTATTTTTAGAGGTGCAATACGAAGAAAAAGTGAATATATTTTTATCAATTTTAATATAAATAAGTACCATTAGGCATATCTACGTAAGTAAAAAATACTTAATTAAAATTGTCGAGCGATTGTTTCCAAGGTACTATATAAATTTAACATTTTAAATCTTTTACTCTATTTTATTTTTTAACACCCCTAGTGTGTTCACTTGGCATTAAAACAAGATTCCTAGTCACTATTCGTATCTAAAGTACCAACGAAATGTGCATATTTAAAAAAGTATATTAAACTTAAAAAAACTTTAAACAGTTTTCAGCTAAGAAGTATGTAAAATAGAAATAAAATTCATTGCGATTTTGCTCAATTTTGCACTAAAAGCTTTATATTTTTGGAAGCAAGAAGATATCGATTTTTCGCAACCAGGTGTTCAAATAAACCAAAAAAATTTGTTTATTTAAATTATTAACATTTCCTCGTTGGCATCTATTTCATACACAACACAGACTACGTCTCATTCAAAAACACGTTTTTTTCCAGAAATGGTATTAAATATTGTACTAAATCGTAAACATACTTTTGCTTGTTATCAACATTTGTTGAATAGCAATTTCCCCAACTGTTTAAAACAGTTGTAATTTTTTTCGAAATTGTAATTACTGTCCGATAAAAAGTTAGTCATTGTGTTTGTAAAAACTATAAAGACATCAGCTTTGCAGAATTGACAGTTCTTTGTTTCTATCACTAATTTTATCAGACACATTTCGTAAGTGACTTTTCTCTAACTGTCGTCTATTTTGATTTGTCAGAAATTTGGAATTTTTGTCTAACCAAACGATAAACCTTTTAGTTCATAATGATTAAAGATTTCTTCTTTACTTTATCTCAGACTTCAGAGTGGGGAGATTTACGATTATCACTCATATCAAATCGCAACAATAATCTTAAACGTTAGTGTAATTGTTCCTAGTGTCACACCACAGATAAAAAATTCGACTGAGCGGACCTCAAGATGTTTTTCCACTTCTCACGGTCAGTTCCACTCTTTTCAAACCCCCAGCTTTCGTCCTGTCCACACAAGTCAAAGTTCAAACTCCCCATACGCTATCACCCGAGCTTCTTATCAAGTGTCATAAAAGTACAATAAATCAAGTTCGGTTTAACCGCATTCAAATATATTGACACATGTCTGGATCGGAATTGCACTGCATTCAATAATTTTATTTGTTTAGGCAATTTGAACGTTTGCACTAAATGGATTAGCGCGTATGAAGGATCATGATTTGTTATTGTGATTTTTCAACGAAGAAAATTGAATCGAATTGTATCGAAAGAGATAATAACAATGTAAACACTTTTAACTAGCACTGACCTGTATTGTTCTTAATTGGATCAATGCGATTTTGAAAATTGAAAAAAATGTTGTTTTAGGTTGTAGTAGGAAAAATGAACAGTTTCGCCAATCCTCCCAAGAACATTCATCGCAATAGTGGCAGTTGACATAATTTCAAGTGATGAAGACTTTAATCTGTGTGATAATCCTAGTATTTTGCTTAGGAATTGTGGCAGCAAATGGTGAGTAAACACTCAAATCTTTGAAAAAATAGAATCACGGATGTTTGCGGAACCATAAAAGTGTAACAACAATGTCTTACTTCAATTAAAATTCTGAAAAGCTTCATTAATCCCCAAGGACGACATATTTATTAYCATATTTTTAAGACGTGGAAAACAGAGATATCCGCTTAAATTCTAAATAATAAATGAGACAGAGGGATGGAATTGTCATTATTTTATTGATTCTCAGCCAGAACATCGTAGGTTCTTTACCAAAGCAGTTGTGCTAATTGGGAAATCCCTTTCCAGACACTGAGACGAGGAAGCGTCACAGAAGATACATAATTTTGTCACGGACGAAACTGAACGCCACTGAAGAATGTTCCAGTTCTTCGGACGACTTTCTTACCTTATTCACCGAAGCTCAGGTCGAAAAAGGAGGAATTATAGTTGTCTTCTGTATCGGAATCTACTGTTTTACTCTTCTCGCAATTATATGCGATAATTATTTCCTACCATGTGTGGAGAAAATCTGCGAAGCATTGAACCTATCTCATGTAAGTAATAATAATTGTTTCATTTGGAATTTTGGAATAATCTTAAGATTAGATTAACTACTGAATGAAATAGTTGGCCTTAATTTTGCAATACTGTTTGTTTTCATTTTGTTAGATATTATAGATACGAATCACTAGATATTTTTCAATCTGTAATCACCGCTGAAATTATTATAGCCAGACAACTCGATTAATTATTTCTAAACACTATAACTTATTAATTGATTCAATTTTTTTTTGTTTATCGATGAATAATTTTCAGCTTTTATTACTTCATRAATAATGAAATTATCTGAGCAGATAAGATGATTTATTTTTTATCAGATATAGAAAAAAATTATAGTTTTATTTTGAATATCGGAGATAACTCATCGAACTTAAGTGCTTTGTGACCCAAAGAATCACTTTACGAATCTATACCCAAAATGGAAAGCAGATGGATCTAAAAATCAACATTATCTAAGCCTAGATACGATCACGTACGCTGAAGTACTTCATCGTTACATAAATTTATTCCAAAATTCGTATTAGGGACTCGAATGTTTCATAACTTCTGAAACCTGGATAGTCAAAAAATGAAAATATTTAGTAATTTGTTTCATACAGGTGTTATCGTAAATGATAATAATTAAAAAAAACAATAAAATACAATTTTAAAATTCTATAAAAATTGAAATCCAATTTTCCTGATGAACTCCACGATTCAAGGATCAAAAAAATTGTGTTTACAAAATTATTAACTAAACTTTGAACAATTCTAAAGTAAACGCTTCCCTGTTTCTAAGCAGATCTCGTTTGATATTATTATTGCAAGCTGAATGCACCGGTAAATATTTGGAATAGTTTATGATATTAAAAGTATAGGAATTTCTCCACATAATTAAGCACTTTACTTAAATAAACTATCAGTATAATCTGGTGAAAACAAATTTAATTACAAGTAATAAGAAAATCTGATTAGATTAAGATCTGAATCTAAGTGCGACCCAAAAATTATATATTTTTAATGTATTGTTATTATTGCAACAGGAAATTAATGTTTCCAAACAATTGAAAAAATAATTTCATTAAATTTGTTTCGACACTTGAAGAAATTAATTAATTAAATTTTGTAAACATTTGTTATCGACTTCGAAATGTTTGTTTTTCGAATTGACACAACTTTGTGTTAATTAATTATTCGTTTATAAATAATTCAAAAAGTGATATTTTTAGGACGTGGCAGCGGCAACCTTCATGTCGGTGGCGACTTCAACACCTGAATTATTCGTTAATATAATCGGGACTTTTATCACCGAATCAGACATAGGAATCGGAACCGTCGTCGGGTCTTCTCTTTTCAATACTCTGGGAGTTGCGTCTCTTGGAAGTTTAGCTGCCTCGAGTGTACTTGAATTAATCGTTGCGAAACTCCCATTTTATCGTAATTTTTTAGCCGGTCCAACTTCACTGGTGGCCCATCAGTCGCGATGTTATCATTTACATCTTGTCAATTCTGCTATTGGTGAGCATCACATGGGATGGAGTGATTTATTGGTACGAAGGGTTGATTTTGTTCCTCGTTTATTTCATTTACTTCACGGTGATGTTTCAAAATGTGAGGATATCAAAGTTTGTGCTCAGATTGATTAAGAGGGACAATAAAATCAGCGATTGCGAGAAAGGGGTGACGCCGACGCCGAGGAGAACGAGCATTGCGGTGATTTCGTCGTATGGCTCTTATGCCGAAGAGCAGATTAATAAGTATACGGAGACGAAGAATATAAGCGAGACGACAAGTGAAGAAGGTAAATATTGGTCTTCTAGGAAAGAATTAGAGACTGCGGAAGGAACCCAAAAAGGACTTTAATTAAAGCTCCAGTTGTTTGTTTTGCGAATTCATAATAAAACATATAATAACCACGAGTTATTCCTTTTTTCAGTTAAAATTATGCGCTTTGACTAAAAAAAGTAATCAAATCATGCAGTTTTTAAACGAACATAACTTGTTTCTTTTTTTGCAACACAAAGTTTTGCTTTCCTATAAACTATTTATATTCTTTCGCATTCGTAGATTTTATAGTTGGAATATCCATTATCTAATATAATAAATCGTAACAAACTATTCAAATCATAGCTAGTTTTTTATTTTTTAGATAAGTTTTAAATCATTGCTTTCACGGGGATATAAAAAAATAAATTTCACGTTGTTCTAAAAGTAGAAATCTGTACATTTCTTTATTGTTTGATATGATTTTCATATAATTACACATTACCTAAAGTATATCTTACATATTTCTTTTCTTAATTATTTTTGTTTAATCTTTTTG